TATATATATATATATATATATATATATATGTGTGTGTGTGTGTGTGTGTGTGTATATATATATACATATATGTATGTATGTATGTATAAAAGAGAGAGAGAGAGAGAGAGAGAGGGAATTAAAATAAAGAATTGAAACTAAGCTACAAAAATAGTTTTACAAATGGGGGATGGTAAAAAAGATGATCCTGTATATTTACAAAACCAGTAACAAATACATCAACTTTTTTTACACCAAAAATCTGTCCTTTTTTCCTTTTTTTGTTGGGGTTCATCTGTGCTACAAAAATCAACAAGATTCATCTGCTGCCACTAAGGTGGGTATTTGACCATGATTCACAAAGTCAATCTTGTTTAATCTCAAACAGCATAGAACTTTCTCTGGTAATTCTTCTGGTTTCTGAGCCTGTTTTTTCAAACCATTCTAAATTAGTTTTCTTCTTCTCTCTGTGGCTGCATTTATTTGGCACATGAGACATATGACAGATTCAACTGTCTCACCAAAATAGGTGGAACGATGGTAAATTACTAAATTACTCATGTCAAATAAAAACCCTAGAACTTTCCAGAATTCTTTTGCCCATCTATGTCATTTGTTTATGAGGCTGCGTTTGTTACATGGGGCATGACGGATTAGACTGGGTGAGAACCCATGGGATAAAAAAGCTTTTTTTTTGTCGAACCAAAATAGGTGAAAAGATTGGTAAATTACTAAATTACCCATGTCGAATAAAAAACCCTGAAACCTTCCAGAATTCTTTCACCCATCTATCTCACTCTGTCCTGTCTGCATACCAAACACACCTAAAAGAATGGAGATGATGGTTTTCAGTACCTGAATCGTTAGTCCCAAATTCATTATCCCGTCTTTTAGGCGTTCACGAAATGCATCCAATCCCTTTCTCGCTATGTAACTAAACCGATGAATGTCTAGATCAATTTCAAAGTAATTTGATCCCTGGGTACACATAAAAACATGGATAATTCATATGGTTACGACCAAATTACTTGATCCAAAAATTATAGGATTGAGTCATATAAACATTATACGAGCAAGACTTGGAGCATGTGAGACCAACCTGTTTCGTAAGATCTCAAAAAAACATTAAACCTTCACAGCAGAACACCATGAAGGTACAAAAAACATGAGTAAATTATGATTTTTGTCCTTGTGGTTTAGAAATTGTGATTTTAGTCCCTATGGTTTGCAATTTACTGTTATTTTCATCCATGGACTCATTCCTACTTTTAAGTACAAGAAACCAAAACAGTAAAGAATTATAAACCATAGGGATTGAAACAACAATGAATTATATATCATAAATACGAAAATAGCAATGAATTACAAACTATAGGGACAAAAACCACAATTTCTAAACCACAAGGATAAAAATCGCAAATTTTAACAAACCACATGGACGAAAACATAATTTACTCAAAAAACATTGAACCCCCGTAGCAAAAACACTGTAAGGGTTAGTTTTTGTACCTTTACCGTGTTTTTGCTTTGAAGGTTCAATGTTTTTCTTTGCCTTCACAACAGGTCTCATGGGTCTCGCGAAAACAGGTTGTTCTTACAAAAACCCAACCCGTACCAGTAATTTGGGGTTAACATTTATCAAAGGGTAGAAACTGTTTAGGCAATTTATCACTAGTTCATTCATTGTTTATTTCCGCAACATCAGTTTCAAAATGGGAAGAAGGGGGGTCAGGTGGGTACCCGATAGAAGCTGTGTTGAGGGCGTGACAGCACGGGTTTTTCGTTGTAAGCATGCAAAAGCTTCCTCTCGGTGCTGCTTGAAAGAAGGTCATCAGGGTTGACCACACCGACCATGATTTTTAGTCTTTCTCTAAAAGGTACGATGGTTTCTTTTCTGAAACCCTTCACCATTTCCATTTCATCTTCGATTAAGCTCTAGAGACATCGTCAAATCACATTTAGCTTGAAACCACACACCGATTAAAACCAAAAGAACTACGAAAAATTTCAACATTTCCGTTTTTGAACTACTTGTTTGACCATTGCATCCAGTAGGGGCAGGTTCAGTAAAAGTAAAATGGATAAGGAACCAGAGGACCACCCACAACACGACATGTGGCATATTCATCAAGAATATGAATGTGCTATTCATCATGAATGTTTTAATATATTCACAATGAATATGTGATTCATGATGAATTACACCTCCATATTCATCATGATGAATACTCATCCGGAAGAGGGCCACGTGGCGCGCTGTGAGCGGTTCCCGGGTTCCTAAATGAACTTCCCACGCATTGAGTATATGATATTTATATACGCCAAAACTTACACACATTCCTCACCTTTGGTGAGACTTGAACCTATGACCTCTAGTGAAGTTGGGATCTACCGCTAACCAAGGTACTGTTGGGCCAATGGCCCTTTGGTAATATGGGCTCATATAAGGTCAAACCTTGACTTGGCTCATATGGTCTAGGTTCCTATGGACTTGTGTAGGCTCATAAAAGCTTAAACATTGGTTCTTTCCAAATGGGCTTGTATAAAATAAAAATATGAACTCTTAAGAACATAATGACAATAAACTATCCACAAGTATAATTAAAAGTCTCGTAAGAGAGTAAGACTAATGATCTAGTTAAATATTTGATCATGCAATGGCCCGTTTAGACTTGGTGGGATTGGCTCATTCTGGATGCCTACTACCGAGCATGAGCCATAATGGGCTCGAGCTTAGCATAGATGGTTAAACGAGCCAGCTTGGCTTGAGCACATGAAACTTTTGGCAAGCCAATTCATTATCCCTCATGGGTATAAACCAAACCCAATGTATATCACACTGAGGTAGGGTCTAGGGGGTAGGATTTATGCAGACGTTGTCTCTATCCGTTAGGGTAGAAAGACGGGTTGGTTAGGGTCTATTTGTTAGCAGCTTAATGAGCTTAATGAGACTCGCAACTTATTCGGACAGTTATATATGACTGTTGGGTAGTGGCTTAATGATATAGAAAGTGACTTATTCAGTAAGTTTCTAGGGGTGAGTTTTATGCAGAAAACCAAGTTTATCCAAACCTTCCCTCCCAATTAAATAACACGCTCCTTTCATCTATGAAACACCCTCCCAAACAACAACCACCTCAATCTATACAGACAGATAAAACACACATACAACTATATCTATACAGAACTTAATGGAAAATCACCCAAACAGTCCCATCTAGACCCCTAATTGTTATCGTTACAAAAAGTTGTTGATATTGACAAGGGTTTACAAGATTTCCTTATTTTGTCAACATTTAAGGGTATTTTAGACATTTCTTGAACTATGAGCCTAGTCATATGCGAAACTACCATAAGCATCCTCAAATCTTGAAAGACCGTAGGGCGAAAGAACTAGTTGGTATTCATTCTAGAATATGAAGAAATCAACAAGCAAAAGGTAACAAAGCGGCAGTTTTTTTCTTTTTTCTTTTTGCATCGAATCTTGTATGGAGTAAGGGTCTGTTTGTTAGTAGCTTAATGGGATTCCCAGCTTATTTAGTCAACTATACATGACTGTTTGGTAGTGGCTTAATGATATTTATTCAATAAGCTTTTAAGGGGGGATTTATGCAGAAAGCCAAGTTTTTTTTTTCAAACTTGCCCCTCCCAATTGAAAAAACATGCTTTTTTCATCCATGAGAAAACCCTTCCAAACAAAAATCCTCCCCATCTATATAGACAAATTAATCCACACATACATCTTCATCCATCCAAGACTCAATAGAAAAGCAACCAAACAACTTGTATGAACTCATCTAATAGAACGACTGATTGAAATCTTAATTACCTTAATGCTCTCCAAAAATGAAGGAGGGGTGTCTTTCTTGTATGTTTCAGAGAGTTTGAAATATAACACAAGGCTCACACCCTCACCATCGCTATCACCAAGGAACATCTGAGCAGAATAAGAAGGCAACTGTAACAATCACATGAACACAAAATTAGAGTTCGGATTTATGTAATGTTTCATCGAATGAAACCGTTATTAATAAAAAAAAAAACCGAACCTGAATATTGACGATGAGAAGAGGAGGCAAATCGCCTTCGCCTTTTAGTGTAGGAAGCTCGATGTGTTTGGCAATGTGGTTGATTTTTTTCGGGCATACAAAGAGATCAACACCGAATGCAGTATAAGGGCAATAACTTGGAGCAGGCCTTTTCGATTTATCTCTGCAAATTATGTATATAGATTAGGATATTCCAAACCATATCAAACGGACCCAGTAAATCCCATGCAGAGGTAGGGTATTTGGGGTAGGATGTACACAGACTCATAGCTAACTATGTCAACTATACATGACCGTTTGTTAGTGGCTTATTAATATAGAAAGTGACTTATTGAATAAGCTTTTAGGAGGAAGCTTTATACAGAAGGCCAAGTGTTCTTTAAACCTGCCTCTCCAATTAAAAAGACACGCTCATTCCACCTATGAAAAACCCTTCCGAACAAAAACCTTGACAATCTATACAGATAGATTAATCCACACATACAGTTTTATCCATACAAGACTTGATGGGAAAAAAAAACAACCAAACAATAACAAAATTGGTAAGACCGGGTAGAATGCAGTCTGGGTAAGCAGTTAGCACTGGGTAGAATGCAATCTGGGCAAGCGCTGACTGAAATGGTTGGTTACCAAGTGTTGTGTAAGAAGTGTTTACTGATAAAAACAATTAGGGCAAGTACTCTCTGACTCGGTCAGGGACATTAGTGGTTGACTCGGTCAACACCTCAGTCACTCAGAAGTGTAGGTAAACAACATCATCTTTTACTGGGGTAAGCTCTTAAACGTAAGAGACAATGAGCATTAAGGGGACTATCACCGACATAAACTGGGTAAGTGCTTACCTGGTGGGTCTGTTGGTTAGCAGCTTAATTAGCTTAATGAATCTCAAAACTTATTCAGTCACCTATACATAACCATTTGCTAGTGGCTTAATGATATAAAGAGTGGTTTATTCAGTAAGCTTCTAGGGGGGAGCTTTATGCAGAAAGCCAAAAAAAATTCCAAACTTGCCCCTCTCAATTAAAAAACACCCTCCTACCATCTGTGAAAAACCCTGTAAAAACAAAAACCTTCCCAATCTATACAAATAGATTAATTCACACAGACAGCTTCATCCATATAGGACATAATGGAAAGCCAACCAAGCAGTTGATCAAGGTAGGGAATCCATGGCATACTTGAAATAATTTTCGCCTCTGAGAGTGAAACTCGATGGGTCAATAGCAGACCAACATCCAGGAGTCGGCTTCTCATCTGTACAACAAGGAATCAAGAGTCCTGCTCGAGGACGATAAAAGAACTTCTCTGTAGCACCTGCATTTCATTCATATCGTAACTTCAAGATTTTTTGGAACGAAAAGCAAATCTTTAAAAGTTTGGAGCTGTTCGATACTTACAGGTTCCACTGGGATCCTCTCCATCGACTGGAGATCTTTTTACAAGCCTAATAACTGTCAATTTATTTGTCTGATTCAGTGACCCTGAATTTGATGTATTCGTGATCTTATCGTTGAAACTAGCTGAAGGAAACAACTGGGGTACACCAGGCTTCAAGATAAGGGCTTCGTTTTTATCATCTTTATCACCATTAAAGCTACTATAACTACGTCCTAATTTGTACGAGGTGGAATCGTCATCATCCCCAGAGTATGGAAGTTCATGTCCATTGGAACTTAAAAAGAATAACGAGTTCTCTTGCTTGACTCTGCCTTTAATCGGTGTATTTTCTGCACTAATGTTGTCTATCTTCGCATTGCTTTCATGGGATTCTTGGTCCCAAAACTTGTTTTCCAAGAAATGTGATGACATATTCTCATCTTGAACCGCTTCCTCGTTTGGTTCCAACTGAAGATCATCGTCTTCAACCAGCAAAAGAAAGTAGACATGAAATTACTTTCTCGTGTGCATTTCGTTATCATTGATTTTTCGAACCATCCTTGCGACTTTTTATTGCAAAAAAAGTACTAAAGCTGTTCACAGGTGGGATGGCCTGTTAGACCCGCCTTGTCCGGCTCGCTAGAAATGCGGGCTTGGACTACTATTCTAAAAGAAATGGGCGGGTCTGAACTGGCTTGTTAAAATTAATGTGCGGTCATGGGCGATGCAAAAAAGTTTTTGTCCGTTAATAATATTATAATAATCAACTTTGATACTGAAAATTTACAAATTAAATTGAAAATCCTTGATACTTCTCGATTCCCACTCAATTTTTCTAAATTACGTATAATGTTATGTATTTACTTTTAGTTTTAAGTTGGAAAAATTGTAAATGTATTTTGAATTATTTTACATAACTTGTGATTTTATATAAGTTTTGTTTTCTTAAAAATATAGAAAGATTTTTAGGCCCGTTAACTCGTGGGCAAGCCCGGCCCATTTATAGGAAGGGTAATGGCAAGTTCTCAAGCTCGTAAATAAGGGCTTGGATTTGCTATACTAGGCCCGTTGGACAAGAAGACTAGGTTTGGCCCGGCCCGGGCCCACAAATGATCAGCTCCAAAAAACCCATCTTTTTTATTTTGGACAAAATTGCCCATTCTTGCAAATGAATATGGTGTTCTTTAGTTTGTTGCATTTTCGCAAGAAAGATGGTTGGTTTGCAATGAAAAACCGATTAAGATATCTGAAATGTTTAATAATTCAATTGAAAAAATAATGCTTTTAAGAACTCGTTACCTCCATGGACGCTAATAAAGTCATCATCCGAATTTGAATCTCCCACGTTGCTGACCGAATCAAACCATGGATCATCAGCTGCAAGTGGAACATGACAGGTCATCTTCTGGTTGGTAACACATTCACAAAAAACAAAAAAAGGCTGCCGGGGGACCTGCACAGCTGTCCCTGGGCATCCTAACAAAGTACTTGATGGGACTTTAAGTTCATAGGACCAAACACCGTGTGTCATATACAAAAGTATTACAATAAGTTGTTAGGACGAAGTTAGACAACCTATCAAGTTCTATCGCTGAAGTTGGGCAACCTAATAAAAAAAGAAAGGTACACCGCCCAATTAACCTTTTTATAGAACACTTTTGAAATTTGTCCTATATAGTATATAACAAGTTTTATGAAAAAGTCTAATAAGTCACTTTCCAAAAGCATCGTATAAAAAGGTTCATATGACGATTTACTTTTCGAGTTTAGGTTGCATAACTTTATCATGACAACTCATTATAATGCATTTGTATAGGATGCATAGTTTTTGGTCCTATAAACTTATGTCTCTTTAAGTACTCTATTAAGATGGACGGCTGAGAGTCCTAAAAGGCACATCTTGTTCTAGTGATCAAGGGCCTGTTTGTTAGCTTATTAATAAGCTTAATGGTCACAGCTTATTCCTCAGCTATACATGACTGTTTAGTAATGGCTTAATGATATAGAAAGTGGCTTATTCAGTAAGCTTCTAGGGGGGAGCTTTATGCAGAAAGCCAAGTTTTTTCCAAATCTGTCCCTCCCAATTAAAAAACACGTTCCTTCTATCTATGCAAAAACCCTCCCAAACAAAAACCTTCTCAATCTATACAGACATCTTTATCCATACAAGACTTAATGGAAAACCAACCACCAGCCCCTAATTTCACATCAAACCAAGTTAAAAAGAAAAGAAAAAAAGATCGTACCGTTAGCATCACCCTGACTACGGGGTGCTTCCATCTGAGCGGGTTTGCAATCAGAATTGGAAGACACTGATTCCATACAATTGGTGGTCGTTTGAACATCACTTGCAGCAACACGGTCTCCCACATCGTTGTTCTTCTTCTTCATTTTTTCTGGCCGACGGGTCTTTTTGCTACGATGACGTCGTGGTTTCCTAGGTTTGATTGTTTTAACGGGGCTTGAAGCACAACTACCCATTTTCCCTTTTTATGTTCTTGATGAAGTATCAAAGCAAGTCCCTGATAGAAACAACTAGAAAATCATTTGATCCCAAAATGGCATCAAGAAACTACTACATATAGAAATTATTATATATTGTCACCTCTGGTATCAGTTAAAATGTTTGCATACATCCTACCCTCGTTTTTAACACACTATGGGATATACCAGGGTCATTTGGAGTTTTGTGAACTTGGGTGCTATAAAACTCAAACCAGAAACGGATCCAAGTTAATTGATGGTTGCTATGGTCAAGGTTCTAAAAGGCGTGTCATGGCATAAAATGCGTCTCTGTAATTACGAGATGACCCATAGGTTTGTGTAAGGCGTGGCCGTGTTTTTTACGAGGCATGATTTTTTTCCAATTTTTTTAATTTAAAAAATAATTATTTTTAGGTTTTGTGTTTTTACACTTTATGCTTTAGATTTTACACTTCTACAAATTTACTTAATCACATCATTCACAGTCTCATGGATTCGCGCACGTCACATATTCACGGTTAAAACGAAGTTTTATAAAACCCTTTCAAGTTTTATTTTGGATATATGATCGCAAACTCTTCATATAATACTAATATACAATATTTTTCTTCTTTTAATATGAATGTATATTTCTTAGGGGCTGTTTGTTTCCCTCTTAATGGTGACATTAAGAGGGAACCTCTTAATCGGTCAGAGGTTTGGGCTGTTTGGCAAAAAAAAAAGAGCCTCTTAATGGTTACATAAGGCTCTTAATCATTTTGCATCTACTACATCACTCAACCATTCAGATGACAATTCTTCCCACTTTACCCTTTACCTGCTCCCTTTACCAGATGCGTCTCCATCTTCTTCCCTCCCTCACCCTCCCTCCCTCCCAGCGGTCTTCTCCCACGAGGATAATCCAGCCTTCTCCTCCCCCCACCGACAGCCTCTCCATCTTTTTCTCTGGTTGTCTCCCCCTCCATGGTCGCCGTCTTCCCCCCCTCCTTCGTCGGTTCCATGGTCGCCGTCTTCCCCCTCCTTCGTCGGTTCCATGGTCGCCGTCTTCCCCCTCCTTCGTCGGTTCCATAGTCGCCGTCTTCCCCCCCTCCTTCGTCGGTTCCATGGTCGCCGTCTTCCCCCTCAGGTTATCGATTTTGTGATTCAGATATAAACCCTAATGATTTTGTGCCTTCAACTTCGAAGCCTCCAAAGTAGTTTGTAGTTTGCTAGATTTGCCCTAATTTTAGTGCTGGTTTTCAGTTTGTAGTTTGCTTGATTTGCCCTAATTTTACTGTTTTTCTGATTTTGAGGTTTTGCCCTTGTCAGGGTTAAAATGGTAATTTATTATCATTCAGAGAACATTTACCAAACAACATTATTTCATTCAGCACTTAACCATTCTGACCCTCTCAACCATTCTGACCTCTTAACTATTCTGTACTAAATCATTCAGCAACTGCCAAACAGCCCCTTAATATTATTGAACAATAAATAGAAGATATATATGTATATTTATAATTATAATTATATATAGCATGCAAGTTTGCCCCTTATGTCACTCGAAAAACATTGCGTCCTTGCCGTGGCGTGTAAGGCTTGAGGCTTGATCTTGCCGCCACGCAACACACGATTTAGAACCTTGGGTATGGTACGAAACATTAACACATATAGATATCAATTTTGAGTACATTATTCTAAGAATCATTGGTTTAGAATAACCTTAAAGATCACACCAAGCTAGCAATCTGTATGGTACTAAACATTAACACATAGAGAGAACAATTTTGAGTACATTATTCTAAGAATCATTGGTTCATAATAACCTTAATGATCATTCCAAATGATCGACCGTTTGTATAGTGATACTTTTTATTGCAAACTAAATATTGTTATTGTAGAACACCAAAAGAATGTTGCAAGAAAAGCATCATACTTTGCCATTGTTGTCCAAAATCAAGCGTAGGCTCTATTTTTCATCGTCAACAACAATGGTTTATTTGCAACGAAAAAGCCAAATATGATGGCACAAAAATGGCCACGGAGAAATAAAAATCCCCTTGTGGCCACGGAGATTCAAATGCGGTGACTCCAGGCTATCTGCAAAGCAGGTGGTCTCCCTGGAATTAGTCGGCTCGCATAGCGAGTTGGATATTCAGGTTAATCAATAAAAAAATGGCATTTACTTTTTGTGAAATGGATTGGATATAAAAGAGCATACCTTAGCAAGCTGCAAGATGTTCCAACAAAGACGATATCGGATTCTGAACGCAAAAAGTCAGCGATTAACATCAATCATGAAGTTCAAATTTTCAAATTTAGAGAAATTTTTGGCATAGAAAAGAATCATAAAGGGAAAAAGAACCCCAAATCAATCCAATGCAATTTCAAACATAAATCTATAGGAGGTACTCAAACTTTCCCTCTACCCCTTGTGTAGACATACTGTTTTTTGTAAAGACCCTCAACTTGCAAAACAAAAGAAGAAACAAGAGAGCAAGCTACAAGTGTAAGTGTGCAAAAGAATGAAGTTTATGTTTCCCTTTTAAGGAATTCTCTTAAAGAAGGATGTGAAAAATATATTTATTTCTTATGCTCCATGCAATTCACAATAATTGGTTGTGAATTGTGATCATCATGAAACACAAATGCATAGCAAATAAGATTGAAGCCAATAACATCTCAAATTTATAAAAAAAATGTTAGATATAACAATAATTGGTGCCAATGTAACGGAAACAATAATTGAAATTTGGAATCATCCAAAAAGCAATTCAAAAGGGAACAAAAAGAAGAAACAAAAGACACAGGAAAACAAAAAGATAGGGAAGAAGATAATGCATAATGCATATGACTTGAAATTGAAAAGTGATTTTCATCATTACGAATTAATTGGTGATATTATGCATACAAAAAATCACAAATTCACAATACGAATACTCAATTATACGTATATATACATATATATATATATAGAGAGAGAGAGAGAGAGAGAAACCTGTAAGAGATGAAAACTATCAAGAGGCTACGATCTCCTCTCTCTCTCTCGCTCGCTCACCCTGTGCCAAATTGAAGGAACCCACCATGGGAGGAGAGGGGAGGGGGAAAGCAGAAGGTGGGTCCGACTATTGTCGGATCCGGGTTCAATAATCTCAATCAGATCTATTGATTGATTCTCGTCGTTTCTCAAACCAATGGCAAGTTCCAGAAAAAATGGATTTTATAGAGATCATCTCCTTTCTACGTCTGTGTCGGAGGGAGTCTTTTGATTTCAAACCCCTGGTTTTTCCTACAAAAACGATAGGAAGAAGAAGATGCGCGCCTTCCATTTTCATCGATTTCTCCATTTCCAAACAATTTCTGCTTCATTTGGTGCACCTTCACCATGGTTTTTATTTAATCCGAGTAAATTACGTTTTTAGTCCCTATATTTTGTTGAAATTTTTCTATTTTCATCCTTTTAATTTTAAAATTACGTTTTTAGTCTTTACACTGTGTTGAAAATTTTCTATTTTCATCCTTTTAATTTTAAAATTACGATTTTTATCCTCCTTGTTTATAATTCATTTACAAATTTGTCCTTATGACTAAAACTTTATTGCTTTTTTCTTCCGTATGGTTTATAATTTGTTTTTTGTTAGTTCCTGATATTTAAATTAGTGTATGCAGGCATGTCAACGGGTACCGATTCTTATAGTACTGTTCGTGAAGTCGATAAGCTAATTCTTGAATGGAGCAGGTTTTGTAATATCTGGCTCTGGTCTTCGGTGGGTACAGAGATTAACATTATGTCGTTGGTCAAACCCAATGAAGAATAACCGTTAGTTTGAGTCTATTAAGACTCCCTGACCCCAACCCTGGTTCGAGTAACAGCCCACGACCTCGGTTTGAGTCTAACGGAGATTCGAGACCCATTTTAGTTGAAAATCCCCGTCCCTATTCGGGTCGGTTGAGAATTCTCGTCTTTCTAAAATTTTTAAAAAGATATGCTGATATTATCTTTTTAGAAAGAGAAAATATGTTTATTTTTAAGTAAAATGTATTAAAATAAATGAATTTTATTTTAGTTTTTATTTATTATTAGAAGGATACTCACATAATGTAACGAGATAAAATTTGATTTTAATGTTATGTTTTATTCCGTCTCCGTCAATGTTACAATACGATTTTATGTGCTACTGAAAAAACGATAATACTTTTATTTTTCAATAAAATATAAATTTGAAAGTGTAATAAATTTTTGAAAAAAACTGTATCAATTTTAATAGCAAATTAAATATTTAAAAGTTTTTTTTTTTGTGATTTCTTTAATTCAATTTTTTATTATAATTTAATTTAAATTTAATAATAATTTTATTTATTTTTTGTTTAATAATATAAATTTTTTATAAAGATAATAATTAATCTTTTGTTAGAATTCAATAATCATCTTAAATATATTTTAGATTCTTTTATATTTAAAATGAGATACATATTCAATATTTGATTATATTTATCTATAATTATTTACACAAATTCAAACATGACAATTTACTTGTAATATTGAACTTTAAATAATATGCATCAACAAACAGTATTTCATTCATAAAAGATGGTTTTTAAAAGTTTTTATCAAATGCTTTATAATACAGTACAAATGAAGATAAAAAAAAATTAAAGTCATTCACTAATAAAACTCTTATCTGATAGACATTTACTGGGTCATTTTGCCTTATCAGAGCAAAACCGTACTCGATACATGAGAATAACAACTATTACCTGGTTAACGTTTACCGGATAAATTATTATATATACTATTATTTTAATGTATTAGAATATTATTCGATAAGGTAAATAAGAACGTTAACTCTAACCGATAAACATTTAGCTGATAAGAGAGTGACTGTTTGAATAAATAATCCCTAAATTAACGTTCAATTTTCATATTTCATATCTATTTTAGTCGATAGCAGCGGATCTTGAATGTTTATTAGATTAATAAAAAACCAATCTTCAACACAAAATAAAAACTATTGCATTTTAATACATTTTACTTTATTTTATTTTTAACTCCAATGATAAATAAATCAAAATACAATATGTTTATTAAGTGCGTTTGGGATTGCTTAACAAAATAACTTATTGACTTATTTCGGTATGATACCGGTAATAATCACTTTTGAGTGTTTGGATAAACAACTTATACCGGTACTAAACAGGTAATAAGAAGTTTTTGAAGAAGTTAAATCATTCTAACTTATAATAAGTTGATAAACACTTTTATAGAAAAGTATAAGTTGTTTAAAATAAGCAAACTCAAACGCCCCCTAAATCAATTATTTTTAAATATGTATTTACTGGTATTATCTTGTATCTTAAAAAACTATTATGGTAATAATGGTTCTTTTCCCCTAAAAGAATGATAATAACAATGGTTTAGAAACACCTTTTGGCTTCATATTGGTTAAAAAAGGATTATACAATGTGAATAATGTTCTCTTGAGTGACTTCATATATTATAGACAAATATAAATAGAATTACGGCCTGTTTACCAAACGTTTATCCGGGTAAACGCTTATCAAGTCACGTTACCTTACCGGATGAATAAGGTAAGGACCAAGAATCTTACCCGGTAAGAGCGGGATAAAGACCAAGAGTTTTACCCGGTAAATGTGGGCGACGACTCTTACCATGGTAAGCTTACCGGGTAAATTGTTGCATACGATATCATTTTGGTAAACTAAAATCTTACCCAGTAACAAGATTTTTAAAAAAAACATGTTTTTTTTCTGCTAAGAATTATTACAAGGCCCAATTGATTCAATTCCGCCTAGCCAAGCCAGAAAAAATGGATTAAAATTAAATATAAATGAGTTGAAAAAAAAAAGATTCAAGTAATAACATTCTTGAATCATCAAAACTACTTCGATATCTCTTTTTTGGTTTCTCTCGAGAAAGTCTTTGTGAATCCATACAACTTTAGTTTTTCCGTTTCTTTGTCCCGGATTTCTCGTAGATCTATCCAATTTTTTCGGGTTAAGGAAAAGAAGTTAATAAAATGAGTTTTGGTAAGCGCTTACCGGGTAAATTGTTGCATACGATATCATTTTGGTAAACTAAAATCTTACCCAGTAAGTAAATAATAGTGTTAAATTTTACCGCTAAGCACTTACCGGGTAAGTGTTTGATAAACGGCCGCTTATCCGGGTAAGCTCTTACCAACTCACATTTTCTTATCGGATTAATAAGGTAAGGACCATGAATCTTACCCGGTAAGAACGAGGCAAAAACCAAGAGTCTTACCCAGTAAGTGAGAACGACAACTCTTACCACAGTTGACGCTTATCGGGTAAGTTGTTGCATACAATACCATTTTTGTTGACTAAAATCTTACCCGTTAAGTAAGTGATAGTATTGAATTTTACCGGTAAGTTAAACGGAACACCCCCTTCAAGCAGAAAGTAGACTGGTTCACGCACAAAGACAAAAGGCCAAGGTTTAAGCTGAAAATGAATGGATCAATTGATACCATGTGAATAATGTTCGCGTCTTGAGTGACTTCATGTATTATATAGACGAGTATAACTAGACTTTTTACAAGGGTACAAAGGTAAATGTACATCCAAAAAAATGAGCGAATTTAACATTTTTCATATGTTAAGCAATATACTTTTATCAAACGCTCTATTTACGGGTAACGAAAAAGCTCGAGTATAGTATAGCTTACGCACACCAATTAATTCCACGACCACCACAAATGGCCTGGGGTTGTCGCAGGTAAACCTCCATGACTACAACTCTATATTCGAACCCGGTATAGTGTCGAGAAAATACGCTTTTTGGAATGTGTTTCCTTTTTGTCAAGTTTTTCCACTTTTGCTTTTATGTAAGGATATTTCAGGTATGAAATCATTAATCGAAAGTGTTATCAAGCTCGATATTAACCGAAAACTGTTTTTTCAAACAAAAGGATCATACATAGCGAGCGAACTTAACAGAGTCACAACTAGTGATGGAGCCAGAAACGAACTTAATAGAGTCAAACCCGTTCATGGTCCATCTAAGGAGACCAAGTCAAATGCTCGAGCGTGGGTTCTACGTAAACCAAGGCAAAGTCAAAAGACAAAAGATCGATAAGATGACCCATGCCAAAAAAAACCTTGTATTTCGTGGTGTACGAAGCTCGTTGGAGGTAGCATCCCAATTCAATGGACAAAAACACCATCAAAAAGATCAGCGGAATTTTATTGATTGTTATCTACAGAGCCCCGTGATATTAGTTTAGGTGCGTGTAAATTGGTATGGACTCCCACTGTGGGTTAACCAAGTGTCTAAAAACTATATAAAGACTTAAAACCGAGCTCTAAACATAGCAGATGGTAGGGAGATCGAGGGAGCTCCAGAGCGATAATTCTCCATAAATAACATCATTCGAAGAGGAAATTGTAGCCATCTCAGTTGCTACGTACTCTACCACCACACACTCTTCCGTATCCTTTTTGCCTTGTTTCACTGGACGATCGGTTCCTTGCGTTTTGGACAATTCTCTAGCCTTCAAACCCCCTCGTGGTCCAAGTTTTAGCTTTAAGCATTCTGGTATGCCGTGGAAAGCGTAGAGGGAAGCTGAGAATTTCCGCTCGTATTTCATCCGCTTCATCGCTTCACTTATCGTCAATGGCTCTTCTTCTTCCCCCGACTCCAATGCTATTTCTTGAGCTATCTCAAACGGAGAAAAGCTGCAAGCAGATCCGAGTTCATCAACGAACTTGAAATCCATCCCTTCTTCATCTTCCACTTCACCTCCAATTGTATCTCCAGTTGAAGATGAATCAGTCGGATGATAATCACAACGATCCACATGAACGGCCATATCCGCTTCAGAGCTCGAAGTACCGCTATCTGTAAATATCATTGAATCGTTGGCGGGTAGATATTCATCTAGATCATTGAGGAAGTCGTCCATGAAATGGGTATCCGAGAACTCAGCCGTTCCATCTTGGAATTCCTCCGGCTGCTTCATGTTGGCTGTGAGCAGAGAAGGATTCTGTGATGAAGTGGTCGCAGCTAAAGAATTATTTCGGGCTTCAAGCCTACGAATAAGAAGGTTCGTGATTTTAGACGGAAGGGCGGGTGCAGTCGAAAATGGCTGGGAAGAAGGCCAGAAGTTCGTGCGAGTGTTGGCTCCTCGGAGTAAGCAAGCAGCTTCGTCATAGGCTCGAGCTGCTTCCTCAGCAGTGTCAAAGGTGCCGAGCCACACTCTAATCTTCTGTATCGTGTCCTTGATTTCCGCAACCCATCGTCCAGACGGCCGCTGCCGAACCCCAACAAACTTCTTCCGAGCCTTCCTGGGCCCACCGTGCACGGCGGTCACCACGGTTTCGCTCGCAGAACCGTCCCAACATATGTTTCCTTCAAGATGATCTGAGTTTTGATCAGTAGCTACCTTTCTCTTCCTGGCCATACCAAAGTGTCTTTTGTAATCTAAAGGGAAGATCTAAAGGCTTTTGATATGATTAGCTGAATTATAATGTGTTTATATATAGATGCAAAAGGAGAAGAATTGAAGAGGTCATAGTGGTTGTCACATCTCTGTTTTTTTCTAATATTTTGTGTCTAAAAGGCAACATTTGGAGGTTCCCCCTGACCTGTTCAAAGTTATATAATACGATCGAGTCTAAAAGGTAACATTTGGAGGTTTCTCCCTTGTCCTATTCAAAGAGTATAATATTCGATATGTTCGAATAAGTGTATTCTATTCATACTCTCTCTTACAGGAATGTAAGGAATAGGGTAAGAAACGAGGTGGTATGTGAGTGGAGAGGGTATGAATAGCAACCCCATTTAAATATTCAATCTAAAGATGTAGCTTACCGAAAGGGTGTATAATAGTCTCTGTTGTTTTTGGCACCTTTCTCTTTTTTGTTAACTGTGAGTGTCCGGACCAGCTTGTGCGCACCTCGACTAATCTTAGGGGCCCCGGACAAAAAAAGGAAAATCCCTAGTGGCCTTGCAGGATTCAAAGAATCCCCAAAGTACCACGCCTTGTTTTTGGCACCTTTACAAACTTTAGGACATGTCCACTAATGGGTTGGTAAACGAAAGCAATGGTGAGGTACGAATAGAAGAGCTTTTAAACCAACATCGTAAGTCTTACCCATAATGTTGACCCCTTAGGTTGAGTTCATCGATTGGAACATATAAAGGTAAAGTTGAAAAGCGTTAGAATTTAGAACTTGTAATCTCTGCATATACGGTATATGTATGTATGCGGGTATCACAGACGAAAATATAAACGACACTGTTAGATGTAGAAACTCACCAAAATATGCTGAAGGACTCCATCTATAGCTCATGTCACCATTGATGAATAATCTAAGAGACTACAAAGCCAGGGGGCAATATGACATCTACATCAATAAAATAATACAAATTGACATAATAAATCTAATAGAGAACTTTGAAACAAGTACAGGTGATATTATAATATACCAAACACGCTCTCAATCCATGTAAATGGTTAGGTTTCACACTACACCTGGTGTAAGTAGACTGATTAGCAGTTTAACGATAAAATAAGGGACCGTTTACCTTACCACATATTTACTGACAAGAGTCACTGTCCTCACTTACCTTAATAGGTAATATTCTCGGCCATTAAAATTGATTGTTGGTAAACATCTTTTACCCAATATGCCTTAACTAGGTAAGAGTCTTCTCCCTCCGGGCAAGAGTCATAGTTCTTGCCGTGTCTCTTACCGGGTAAGATTTTCGGTCCTTGTCATTCTCACCCGGTAAGGTAAGAGACAGCTAGGGGTAAGATTTACGGAACAAGTTATTTTTTATATCATTAAGCTACAACCAAACAGTCATATATAATTGACTAAATAAGCTATAAGTTTTATTACGCTGCTAAATTTTTAGTATGGATACTAACATTAGCAAATTGTAAGTACGGATAGTAGCATTAGAAAATTGTAAAGATGCAGCAATTTTAGCTTAGAAGTTTGTTAAAATTTCCATCAATCAGAAAAGCTACACTTTGATGAGGCTGCCACGTGGTGATGGGTTGATATTTAATGGTATGACAAAAGGGTTTGATTTTGATGTTTTGACTGGGAAGAAATGGCGATTACAAGTCAAGGCTATTCTTATCGCTCCACGTGGAGCTCCATCAACATAAAAGTGGTTAAATAGTATTTTAAATTACAGGGCTGCATATTCAACTTGCTACAAGAACCAATGAACAGGGAATCTAGGCATATGCCATTTTCTGTAACTACTTCAAATTACGGTGTCAAGCTACATATTTATATATTCTCTCTATCCTGTTTACATATTCCGTATTTCTCCAAATTAAGGGTGTTTTTGGGATTGCTTATAAAAACAACTTATTGACTTATTCTGGTGTGACATCAATAATAAACATTTTTTAGTGTTTCGATAAACAACTTATACATGTGTCAAACCGGTAATAAGAAGTTTTTAAAGAAGTTAAATCTTTCTGACTATAAGTTGATAAGTATTTTTGTAGAAAATCATAAGTTGTTTCAAATAAGCAATCCCAAACACCCCGTAAATTTCTACAATAAAAAAACATACAATTTTATAAAAGTGTAATTATTACACTTTTTAATTAATTAAATCACAATTATCCCCATAAATAGAGAGAGTAATGAATTTATCCATCTTATTATTAAGGGACCGTTTGGTTTGAAAGAATGATTTTGGGGATATGGATTTCGTGGAAGGATTTGATGTAATTAGTTTATAGGATTTGGAATGGAATTGAATTTCATGCTTTATTAGATAATTTATAAAAACAAATAATAAATAATTATAAAACTAATTAAATTACCTTTTATTAATTGATTATTACAAAATGAATGTAATTAACATATTTTAAAACATTCTTACAAACAAATCCTACGAAATCCCGTAAAATACTAAATACCCCATGGGATTTCTAAATCCAATGTTTTTGGGATTTCATTGAAATCCTAGCATATCAGTTCCATACTTTCCTTTAAACGAAATGCGGGATCGAAATGGAATCTAATTCCAAATTTTAACGAATCCCGCAAACCAAATGGGCCCCAATGGTAGAATTGAAAAGTAAACACTTTTACCTCAAACTAAAATAGAAATATGACAGTTATTTTAAGATGGAGGGAGTAGCACTAAGGGGCTGTTTACCAACAATAGCTGGTAAACGCTGTCTGAAATAAGAGGTCTGATTAGAGTAAGCATATCTGACTGGAGTAAGTGCTGTTTGTAAAAAACTGTTTACCAAGTATTTTGGATTTGGTGCTGACTAATAAAAAATGACCATTATAACCCTATATATGATGAAGTGTTTAAACTAATAAGGGATAAGTAAACAGGCCCTAAGATGACAACATTAAGATTGAGCTCTTTGAAAGGAATTCACTAACCTTTTGAAGAGCTGCAACGACCAAACCCGATGCAAGGATCACTTTCACTGCAGGAGATGCAAGTCAATATAGCTTTGTCATTCTGTTCGATTCGACTTACTTGAAGGTCTACCACTCTAGAAACTCGAACGCTTTGGGAAAATCTATACCCGTCTAGTGCCCACTCGACACTCGTAAGTTTTTGTCCACTTATAAAAGGCCGCTGCAAATAGTCGAGGATCACTATAGATAACCACGGAGATATGTACCTGGTAATTTCTGAATAACTCATGACTGCACACGAAATGTTGATCTACAAATTACGACTATGAACCCAAGTTTGGAATCCAGGAATTGGCCTGCGGAGTGGCGTTTTATTGACAAACAAAAAGCTACAATAAGAAGAGGGGGCAAGGCATGAACAAGAAGCATCCTAGACAACAAGACAAATGTAAACGAGTAATACGATTGGGGGCAAAAAGTGTATCAAAGGCAATTTGATCAGTGTTGTCAATATGGATATTACAGTAAGAGCACATATCTTCCATCCATCTGTGCAGATCAGAAAGGTACATAGACTGCTGGGTGAAATGTAATGATCAAGTCGAGATTACCAAGGGCCATTTGTCAACGGGCATTAAGGTGCACATAAATCTACTTGGGCACATTCATGTCTCGGAAGCAAGAAGCGGCGCATTTCGGCCGTCGGTTCTTCCAGAAAATTGGATCAGCTTCAAAGCTGGATCTTGATATGCAGTGACTAGTTTATCAAGGAAATCAGACATCGCTGGATCATTTTGGTCACTTCTGTCTTTCTTTATTATAGACTGTACCACGAGTAGGATTTTTAGCTTCGTAAATTCAATAATAAAAGTAGAAACAAATGGAAAGCAAACACGATCATAATATGCAGACATCGAGGTGGTGGCCAATACGCATATACACATTATCACCAACTCAAAGGATGAACTTTAGCAATACCCACAACCACATATTAGCTTTGCTCCCAAAACTTACTCACGAGAGGGTTATTTAGCTAAATGACCTCGACAAGTTTTTTTTAAAATCCATGACCTTCTGACAAGTTTCTAAGCATTCGTGTATTTCGATGAAGGTTATGGATTTAAAAGAAAATGTCAACAGGTCATTTAACCAAAAGACTCCATATGAGGGTACCCAGAGGGGCATTTAAGGGTATGACCTTAAATGAATTTTTAATCAAATCCATGACCTCCGGGCCTATTAAAGAAAAAATGGCTTTATACTCATGAGAAGGTCATGAATTTTATTAAAATCTCATTTAAGGTTATATACCTAAAAATCCCGTGCCCAGATGATGGCAACCTCATCTTGGGGAGTTCATAGAACATCATACAACATACATGCATACATGTATGTACAAAAAGACATACTACAGAGAGGTTGTTAAACACTAGACCCTAAACCCTAAATACATATATTATTCTACTGCAGAGCACATGTCCAATGTTAAACCAACACCAACATAATTTCCAGGATGGCCCAAGTATTTAAGAAATTTTCTCTCTACCGGTGATGTTCATAGAATCTTAGTCAAGAAATATTAAATACCTCAACAAACACAGTGGATTCAGCACACTTCCAAAGTGTGTTTATGGTGTGTGTTTTTGTTTGCAGGATAGGACAACACAAAAACTTCTTGTCCCACGTTTGACGTGACATTAGATGGGGACGGACAAGACCTAAGTGGGATAAAATGCATTTTTTTGTCTCACCAAATAGGTGGAACCAAAATCCGGGAGAAGGGATAAGATTGGTTAATTACTAAACTAGCTATGTCAAATTAAGAACCTAATACCTTCCACAATTCTTTCACCTGCCTACCACACTCGCCCATCCAATCCAATCCAGTTCTGTCTATGTACTAAACACACCCTTCATGTGAATAATTTGATTAACGTGAGCGCTTTTCAACATACCTCAGCAGGATAGCCCTTGAAAACTGGTAGGAATCGCTTTCGGCAGTAGCCGTTAAACAGAAGAGTGATGATGGGGAGTGGAATAGTCAAACTGGCAGCCAGGGGAATTTTCTTCAGACCAAATATCCCCACAGCAATTAAGTGCATCAATACCAACGAAAAAACTGTTGAATTGTGCACAATCGGCCAAAACATTCCTGCAGTCTCAAATTTCGGTGAATAGACATCGAGCAACTGTAAAAGAAACAATATCTATTAATGGTCTAACATAAAATTCTCTTAATGAAGAGTCACAAGAGAAAGATGTTCATTTTAACATAGTCCTAACAGCAACAAAGCACACAAAGAAAGCAATTGCAAGAGTTGTTCATTCTTCTTTATCTGCAATATTTCTAAAGGGTAAAATGGAAGAAAGTTTGCTTTAATTCCTATTAGTGCCAGTGTGTAACAATTTTTTTTCTCAATCAACGAAATGGAGTTCCAGAATTTCCTATTCAATGTAACAAAGTTTCAAAATCCCTATTTTTGACTTGTAACCTCCTGATCTTGTAACATTTCACGATGTGGATGTCAAGTTCATCGGCCACTTCGCTATGACCCTTTCGTGAACCTTTCTTAAACAGGTATATCCATGCCATCAAATGTTACAAAATCAGCAGGGTACCAGTCAAAATGGGTACAAAATAGAAAATGGGTACCAAGAAGTTTCATGAATCCATCTAACCTGGTGACGATAAATTATGTATGCCAGACAGTAGTAAACCAATAGAAACGGCAGAATTAAGGGCGACAGGAAAAAGTAGGTAATGCCCAGAAGTCCAAATAAGAGAATGTTGGGGAGCTCACTGCTGTAAGGAACTGAAGGCACTTCAAATTGTTCACCAGTTTTTGTGAGTATATTTCTTCTCGTGAAACTGGAAATGAGGGGCATCAAGCGAAAAAGCTCTGAAGCTGTACTGGTCCAGCCAGATGTCACGACATATGTGATGAAGAATGTAGCCTGCAGAAAAAGGTAAAATTTTGTATCACCTCTTCAATCATACCAATGTTAATACAGGACATGTAACAACTGGAAAAGCCACATAATCAATCATCTGAGAGCATCTCCAACAGATTCTCCAAAATGGAGTCTCAAAAATCAGAATCTCCAAATATTACATCCATCTCCAACAGATTCTCCCTCCGGTTTAGATATTATGATATTAAAATATACAATACATTTAATAAAATATTATTTCTCTCTCCTATGTAGTTAAATTCGAAGACTTTTATTGGTGGAAATAATAAAATGTTATTTCTCACTCATAAAGTAATCATTTTTAGGGAATTCTTCATGTTTGGAAAAAAAAAATTCCTTCTCTCTCTTGTTTTCTCTATTTTGAAGAAGGTTTTGGATAATCTGTTGGAGCAAAAAAAACACCCAAAATCTCCATTTTCTCCGTTTTGGAGAATCTGTTGGAGATGTTCTGATATATCTCTTTACCCTTTTGGGCTAGCCCCGACATACTTCTGAAATCTGTCGCTTCCCTAAGTGTACTTGCAGGTTCTGGGCAATGCAAAATGGACTTTTTTTACTCATACATCCCTCCACACACCTACATTCCTCCCTTCACTGGTTCACTCTCATCTGCTCGCTCTCTCTCTCTCTCTCTCTATATATATATATATATATATATATGTATGTATATGTGTGTGTGTGTGTATCAATCTGTTACCCAAAATTTGTGGTCACAAACGATAAGGGCCTGCTCTTGTTAAGAGCAACAGTGACTTATAGAAGTATCAGATCTATTTTGGTAACCAGTCAATCGCTCTACTGTCTACTAGACCCATTATATTCATTATCATCAAATTAGCATGCAACACCAGGATAATGTATGAAATTCGATAAATGTAACAAAGAGAGCTCACAATTCAATAATATGATTACATGAGTGGATATGGTAACAGTTTTACCTGTGCTGGAACGGCAACTGCTAATATATTTGGTATTTCCTTAGGCTCCCAAAACATATGGACCTGATATAAAACTGATCCCGACAAAGAGGTTACGAAGAATACGTTCCATATGGTGAACCATAGCATCTTGTTAGATGCACTTTTCTCTATCTGACTGTGTGCAACATAGCCTTGGAGACAGGATAACATTGTCATGACAGGTGGCACAAAATACAAAAACAGCTTGAGAATCAGACTAGGGAGATATCCTGTGATGACCTGACTTACGAACGTTCTGCAAGTCACAATACCTTGTGTTAGCCTTACGGCCCAAATGATATTTGACCAAAAATGAGTATGCACAAATGAAAAGCAGAGGTTTAATACCATATGTAAGTTAGAAAAGTAATTTCAGAATGTATAACTCAGTTTCAGAAAGTAACACCACACAAAACGGACCCAGTAAAATCCCACTCGAAAGTAGGGTCTGGGAGGGGTGAGATGTATGCAGGCCCGACCTTTGCGGTTGTTTAGTGAAGACCCCCGGCTTGTGCAAGAGTGTAAGCAAACAGGTAGCAGGAATAAATATTAGCATATGCTCAACGAAGCACGGGAAAAATAAGAAAAAGTTAACTAATAGTTACATTGGACGCATATAAGACCTGACCTAACACGAAAAAGGTAGTTGAAAATAGAGAACTGACTACTGATTACTCACATTTGCAGTACACCTTTCAGAAAAGGGAACCAGGTCTCCAGTTGGTCCAAATGAGTGAGACTCTGCACTAGGATTACAGGTACGAAGAACAAAAGTGTAAGAGCAATACATGCAACAACCACCACGACATTCCCAATCCATATACTTATGAATGACGCAGAAAAGAAGGGCCAGTATATATCCTGGGGCTCTGGAGCCTGCTCGGTTAGCCACTCTGTAGGATTTTCTCCTTGTTGGATGTGTAAAGCTATTGCAGCACCAAGCCGTGACTTGAAAGATACAAAAGCAGCAGAAGTTTCCTATTGAAATGATCAATTAAACAGAAGTTCATGTCAATAATAAATCTAAAACACTTAGCTTCCAGCCAGCATGAAGGAGCAAAGAGTTAAGTACATCCTAAGATTATACACCAATGCGGGACAGTAATTTAAAACAAAAAATGACTCCTGATGGTTCAGCAACGGACTCCGTATGCACCTACTACAAATCTAGAGTTATTGAGAAGGCCCATCGTAAAAGTAAAGTTTCCCCGGTAGGCATAAAGAGCTCCTTACATTTAGATATCAATGACTCTACAAAAGTAAGTATTACTCGGATTGAAATCATGTCATATTCTTCACAAAGCACGTCGTCTTTAAGCAACTAAGTACTTTTCGGTATAAGGAGAAATTTGCTTTATTTTGCAATGCTTCTTTTTTTTTTGGCATTAAGTAGTCTTCTTTCCTTATTCTACTGATGTTTCAGTGGCTCTAAAAGATAATCTACTCTTCCAATGTTTCTATCTTCCCATTCATCCCCTGTGTGGTTGGTACCAGAAAAGAATAATTTCATGAACCTCCCAAAGAGGAAAATAAGAGAATAGTATTGGTTCAGAACCTACATGGCTACACAGCGAACAAACCCTTGTAATAAAATCAGCTAAAATTCAAATAGTGGCTAGACAATCATATATACAATAAACTCACCTTCCCACTAAGTAATGACTGTTGCATCCTCACATTATCTTCTAGCTCTTCTAACTTCTTTTCATAATACTCCAAGAGATCAACTTTGGGACCAAAAATCCCCAAAAATCCAACACGTCCAAACCTTTTTGAAGTTGGCTGTGTCGACTTCAGAAGAGCAAGCTTTCTATGCACCTTCTCAGCATCACTCTAGAATGACATTACAGCACAAATAGGAATTAGATGAATTAAATGGATCAAGAATGTTTATAAGACAATCATATGCATCTGACATTCTGCAATTGGGAATGGAATAGATGTTAAAATCTACATAACCTTTTAAATATCCAGGGAAGTGGTTAAAAGCAAGCTTGTGTTGGTAACATATGGTGCTCATAGGCCACTTGAGGACATATTTCAGAGAATCCAAACAGGAGATCACTCAAGTAGTGTCTGCCTCAGAAAAACTAATGGGGTCAATGACAATGAAGAATGTCCTTTTGGTAGATATACAGTGAATAATTAAAAGAGATTCTTGGAAGAGCTAGGTTTCATCCCTCTAGGTAAACAGCAGTGACTGATTGCGTTCTGGCGAGATAGAAATATGCGGTCATGTTGGTCAAATGTATGTTCAGGGAGTTGGCAGGTAATAAATAGTCAAAGTTCAGCAATAATGTGGCTCTATCATTCTGTACCAGACCTGCTTCATTTATTGCAAACTGGTTAGTTTTCTAGATAAAATCAAGGAAGAATTAGGTCATCATTCTTCGGCTGACTCAACATTTTGCAAGTGCTACCATACAAACTGACAAAAGAGAACCCTCAAAAAGTGAGGTGTAAGCTGAAGTTCAGGAAATTGTGTACGCATCTATTTGAACATTTTCGGCATAACTTGCATCAATCTAATACTCCCTCCATCCCCAAGTAAAATCAAAGTATTGCCACATAATATGACGAAGGTGTTTTGACCATCAGTCAAATATCAAAAACGCACCTCAATAATGACAACATAGAGGAATCTGATGCACCCTAGCTTAAATCGTAACCTGGATTTGACCTATTCAGATCAAATCGTACGCTGGAATCACACAAACGACGCAAGAGATGTAATTGGTCAGCTTCAATTAACGAGTTTGATTGATATTGTCGGCCAATCTCTTATGAAACGGAATTGGTACAATTACCAGACGTTCGAGAGGTCTGGTCGTCTCCCTGAGCTCTCGCTCTCAACAAATTCACCGAAACAAACAAAAACAGAATACCCACCTCAACTGACAGCTCCCTATTTAAGCAAAACTCAATTACCAAACTACCCTCCCTTAATCGACTACTAAGAATCAGCAGCTACACTACTAACCTGATTTCTTCTTCTATAAGTAAACCTCAAAGGAGGTTTATCAGAATCTCATGGACCAAAATCAGTGGTATCAAGATTTTGTCAGTGGTATCAAGATTTTGTCATGATTACCAAGAAGCAAGCTAAAACTTTGTAAAGGGAAGGAAATTGATTTTTTTAGGGTATCCCAAAAGAGAAATTGTCGTAATACTTGTGAATGGGGGAAATACTATTTACTGACGTCCCTCAAGGGGTCAAGAGTGCTATCAAATGTATTTCTGTGAGAGACATAGGAGTCCACAAGCAATAATTAAAAAAATACATGAATATAATGAGGATTTCACCATCAAGTATAAATGACCGGAATTTTCAGTGTTAGTTCATAAATGACATAAACTGCTAGATTCTAATATCCTGGGATAATTGGATTTTGCTTTTGAGGATTGATGCTATGTGGACTTTCAAGTCAAAACATTTACTTAACATGCCTATAGGACTTCGAAAATCTTAATTTTTTATGTAGAAAGATAGTGGGGAATAAATTAATAGCCAGTAAAATCTAAGGTCTATCATTGGCCGCAGGACATGTTCAGCACATCAGCTGATACCGTATGCAACAACCAGCTAGGATTTATTGGCAATACAACATGTTACTTGAGATGCCTCCATACCACATCTATAGCTTCAAAAGTTCACTTACAATTAGCTTCTGAATCTTTGTAGTGTGATACACCATGTAATGTGACAGATATAGTGTTGGATAATACTCTGTGAAAAATTTCTCAACACTTCCACTAAAGCTGTCTGTGGACGATTTTGGGGTACCCCGAACCAATACAGTAAATTGATCCGGCTTTGGCTTGGATGAGTAGAAGAAGGCAAGCCTTTTCGCAGAGATATAACTATACTCCTGCAGAATGCAATTTCCTCAATAATTCATTGGGAAAAGAAAATCGAGTATATCTTGGTAAAAGGCAAATGCTTACAACATAAAGAAGATAGCAGACAAATGCAGTGAAGACATATACCGCACTGAAGTGAACCCATAACCTTCAAAAGTTTCAAAATATGAGGTCAGTTCTTCCTAACAACATGCAAATGGACAAGGTTGCATTCGAAGTCTCAAATCTCATACAAATATTATACCCAGAGAATGTTTCGATATAAATTAGTAACCAAATGTATGAATTAATTTAGGCAAGTGCCAGCATGCCATACAAAGAAAGAAATAGGAGTTCATCTCCTTGATAATTTTAGAAAACAACCACTAGTTGTACAATCCAAAATTGGAGTTGATATCGAGACTTCAGCAACCCCAGAAACATGCAACCAACAGAAGAAATAATCATCTGATGGTTATAAACAGTGGCATGATTAAGATTAATTTACAAAACAAGAATACACAGCAAATGGCTACAGTAGCTAATAGTTCATGAATGAAGATAGTAAACAATCACCTTTTCGAACCATCATTGACATTTGAAATCATGAATGATTCAAGAGACATGTTTGTGATGTCAGAAAAATCAATCACGATCTGACTTCCCATATAATTGATTGGTAGAAGAACACAAAGGCCAAGTACCCCAGCAAAAGCAAATACTTTCAAACTGCAATAAAGAAAGAATATTAGGTGGCTTTTAATCTAATAGAAATGATGAGAAATATGTAGCAACAAAATTACAACTGACAGGTAAGATTAGTTAGCTTACTTTCGGGTTACATAAATTGATGAATTAGGGGGGCGTTCTTCTCCTTCATACCAAAACTCTAGAAGAAATTGTGAGTATACGTGGCAGATGAATTATCAAGTCAAAATCGAGACTTGCGATTCTTCATCAATGATTCATCCACTCTAGGTAAGGACTTCACGCTTAAGGTTATAAAAGTGGCGAAACATGACTTTACAAATAGGTCATGCCAAAATTTCGGTAGAAATGCTATATTAATTAAATGATTGAACCAGTTATCCCAGATCATGGAATATGTGCAAGTTACAAATCCCGCAGGTATAATTAGGATTCTTGGTTTTAGAACATGTACGCTTGGAGAAACCAATAATGTTACTCCATTGTGGACCTGAAGATCTCAAATTTTGGTCACTGAAACAATGCTAGAGAAAATATGCATACAAAAATACACTTCCCCAAGCCTCAATAAGCCAATATGCCACTGGGACGCTATTTTAGTTTTAGAATGTTTATAAGTAATGAATGACCTAGCCCAGTTACGGAAATTGGAAAGCTGAACATCAACATTTCTCCATCTCACTAAGTTGCCGATTTTTACCAATTATGTCCTACAAATGTCATAATCATATACATCTCTACTTTGTTTAGCATATCTACTAATTTCTTGTGTATATCGGTTTACAAATTTCCACAAGTTCCATAGTTTGAAAATCAGTAACCTGAAGATAATAATGCGCATAAAGACGACACCATCTAAACCCGCACGCACGAGAAGTTCTTGTTCGGAGGGATTCCATGACCTCTTAACCCAACTGGTAGAAGGCAGTAACCTTTCCAAGTTGAAATCGTTTCTCTGGTCAGATTTTCCTTCGGCAACCAAGCGTGGTGCATAAACATCTGCATTACCTGGTTGCTTCCTCAATATGGAGTATAGAGTGAAGAATAGGAAACATAAACCAAGATTTATTCCAACGGAAGTCAAAAGAGCAGAAAGAATCATCCTTTAAAATGCTGAAAATCTGCAGTTACTCCAAACTGTCACTGGATCTCAATATTCCCAAACATTTGCTACAAGAAAACATCAGAAATTCAATTATGGATCATAGAATTATAAATTATGTGACTGGTAAAGTACTATTTATCTTTTATAGGAACAATAAAAGCGAACTTGGGAAAAGCTAGTGGCAAAAAACAAGGCTGAGAACGCATTGATAAGATGGGACTTTTTGCTATCCCTTAACAAGGAATGCCACAAGGGCATACACAGAAAAACATCAGAACATTTGGAATATAGCAGTGGAATATACACACTATAGTGAACTTCGATGAACATTCTAATAAACCCAAACATTTGCAACATAGATAGAGGATGAACCAGCATATGAAGGTGGTATGAAAGACTAGGGAGTGTATAGGTGCCTAGCATTTCTCTTGTATTATGCAAAGTGGCTGCTCCCAAAGATAGTACCCATGACCATCAGAAAGGAGTATCTTTCCGGATCTCCTAGGGTCGCCCAAACATAGATACTCAAGAGTAAATCCTTTTTCTACACCTAAAGGTTGATCCAGATTGACTTGATATTATGTCTCTCATATATCAATTTTCCAACATCCCTTCAGTATCATATAATTAAATAAGAAAGTAATCTTTAGACAAAAGAAAATGAAAACAAAGTTGTTGGAGTCCCACACTATCTAGACATGGACCATCAAACTTGTATATACCTGGGAACCTCCCCTCTCTTTATAAAAACTCTTTTAGAGATAATTCAAAGGATTCCACATATCCTAACTTGGTATCAGAGCCGGGGTCTACGACATTTAGGGACTCGAAACGCTCTTTCACATCCCTTATAGGAGCCACCAGCTAACCTCCATTTGAGGGGGCGTGTCGGAGTCACACATAGGACCATCAAACATGTATATATGTAGAAACCTCCCCTCTCTCTATAAGGCTCTTTTAGAGAGAACTCAAAGAGGTTCCACATATCCTAACTAAATATTTCTACCATCATACATGCGAACAAAAATAACTAAGAAAATGAGGGGTTAATTCATATCATAGGGCTCTCTATAAGGCTCTTTGACATGCTCATCTATTGACCATCCCACAAACCTTTCCCAGCACATATTATAACAAGAGCAACGAAAATTAACAATCATAATACAACAAGAACAGTCAATTTAAATGAACATAATCACAGAATATAGCAAGAGCAGTTAACAATCTAAATTAAAGCAAATTTCTCAAGCAGGAATACTTCTATCAGCTAAATATACATAATCCCCAAACATAAAGTCCAAAACTGAGAAATATTGTTAACGAGCTATGAACCCATGAAACCAACAAATTAACAGTGGGTTTCCCTCTATCTCAAAACGAAAGATCTGCAGTCTGTCTATTGTAGTCGAACAGGCTAACCGTCAATCATAAAATATATAAGGACTTTAAAATTTAAGGAGCACCCGCGAACTAAATTGAACTTTATTCATTGTATCGCAAATAGTAAAAGAGGGTGGTGTTAACGTTCCATATCAAATTACTAGATTCAAAATCAAAGTAGAGCTTCTCTTGTTTAGTAAATAAAGCGAAGAGTAAACTTAAACCCTAAACCATAACCGTAGATTAAATCTAGTAAGAACTTCAAACGAATATAGCAATCAGATCAGGAAAAGTATATCCTAATACAGCAACAACGACTGCACAACCAAATATTCTCGAAAGTCAATAAAATTATTACCTGAATTAACGATAATTTTCGGCGATATATATGAGAAACGAAGAAGGATTCTTAAGCTAGTAATGATTACCTAATATATCTAATTCCAAAACAAACATGTAACTACTGCTAGTAAGAACTTGAAATGAAATTTCAGCAATTAGATCAAACAATGCATATCCTAATACAGTAATAACGATTAACAACTGAATATTACGGAAGTTAATGAAATTTACCAGAATCAACGATAACTTCCCGGCGACAGATACAGATAGGGAAATCCAGAAGGAATCTTGAGCTGAACCAAACTTTAAACTTCGTCGTCAGAATTCAAAACTATCCTAAACCGACCTTAAATGCGACTACGTGCCAGATGTGGAGCATCTCAGCTGGAGTCCTCGTAACAACCTGCCTTTTGTGTTTTTTTACTTCCAATTTGATGTATTCGGTTTTTTTTTCCAACGTAAATAGTTAATATTATTTGCAAACAGATATACAATGATCGGTTGAAAATAAGAGTTAAGGTGGGAAGTGTTAAAAAAATCTGGATTTTTAATCTATGGGAAGTGTTAAAAAAATCTGGATTTTTAATCTATGTTATATTATAAAGTATTTGATAAAAAATCATAAAAATCATTTTTTATGCATGAATTATTGTTGGTACATGTTACTTAAAATTCAAAATCACAAATAAATTATATGAAACTATAACTTATTAAAGTTTCATGTTTTAATTCGTGTAAGTAATAGCATATGAACATAATCAATAGAGAATATATATCTCATTTTGAATATAAAAATTAGGACTTATAACAAAATACTTGATTATTATCTTTATAAAAAATTATATTATTAAATCAAAAATAAAAAAATAAATTAAAAAAATACATAAAAAACGAGAAATTTTAAATAGTTAGTTTAATACTAATACCAATATTTTTTTTTATTTTTTTATGATATCTTCATATTTATATTTTATTCAAAAATAAAACATTATCGTTTTTTCAAAACCATATAAAACCGTATTATAACATCGATTGAGACAAAAAAATGAAAAATTAAGATCGAGATGCATTTTACTGCATTGTGTGATACCTATCTAGTCATCTTTAATTTCAGTCTCATCCATGAATCATATTTAATATGAAAAATTGATCTGATGTATTTAATATTAAATATATTTAATTTGAAATATATAAATCTATACTATATTATAAAACATTTGATAAAAACTCTTAAAAACCATTTTTTATGCGTAAAATACTGTTTATTAATGCATATTACTTAAAACTCAATATTACAAATAGATTGTGCGTAGGTACAACTTATTAAAGCTCCATATCTGAATTCGTGTAACTAATTGCGGATAAACATGATCAAATACAGGATAAACATCTCATTTTAAATATAAAAAAATCTAAAATATAATTAGGATAGTCATTGAGTTCTAACATAATACTAAATTATTATCTTTATAAAATGTTATATTATTAAACCAAACATAAATTATTTCATTATTAAACTTAAATTAAATTATAATAAAAAAATAAATTAAAGAAATTACATAAAAAATTAAAACTTTTAAATACTTAATTTGATATTAACATTTATATATATATATATATATATAGGGTTGGGTTCACGTGAGACCAGCATGTTTTCGTGAGACCCGTGAGACCACATTTTTACACGTAAACTTCACAGCAAAAACGCTGTGAAGGTTTAAAAAAAGTCACCTTCACAGCATTTTGCTGTGAAGTTTCAAGTGTAAAACGTTGGTCTCACGGGTCTCACGAAAACAGGCTAGTCTCACATGATCCCAAGTATATATATATATATATAATTTATGATATCTTCAAATTTATATCTTATTCAAAAATAAAATCATTATTGTTTTCTTAAAAACATATAAAATCGTATTATAACATCGACAAAGACAAATAATAAAATAGAACATTAAAATCGAGATATGTCTCGCTACATTATACGAATACTCTTCTAGTATATTATAAATTATTAACTCACGTTAATTTTTAAGGTAAGAAATTAAAAGGGGATGAAGGTCCACAATGTGGGTTCTAAACTTCTAATAAATATCCTCAATCCAATATTAAAAACATAAAATGGAGGTGTTTTTGTGTAATCCAACACTAAAAAAATATTAAAATTTTTTGTTGATTTTTATATTTGAATGTCTATAAAGTAGGTCTCTAGAAATACATATTAATATGATATTAAGTTTTTATAATTTATATATAGATATATGGATTTGGGATCACGCGAGACCATCATGTTTTCGTAAGACTACTTTCTTACATTTGAAACTTCATAGCAGAACATTGTGAAAGTAACCTTCACAGTGTTTTGATGTGAGGGTTCGGGTTTTTTTTACCTTCACAGTGTTTTTTTGTGAAGTTTCAAGTGTAAAAAGATGGTCCCACATATCTCAAAAAAACAGGTTAATCTCACGTGAACCCATATATATATATATATATATATATATATATATATATATATAAAGTTTAATAAATTAAAATGTTTACTATTATTGGAATATTTACGATGGTTTTTAGTTAATGGTTGAAGTTGATCTTTTTAATGTGCAATGAACCCGCTATTTTTAGTATTTTTTAATAATTGGGCATCTCCAACAACTATATTAAAATAAAGCAAAAATAAATTTTGACATTTTTTTTGTTCCAATCTTGTATGTTAGAGTAGAAAAAAATTAGAGAAGGTAAAAATCTCTAAATTTAGAGAAATTTCTAAAATATTATATTGAAGAGAGGGAATTTATGTTAAATTCTTTTTCATCAACTGGAGACGTTGAAATTAAATGTTTAGGAAAGATAAATGATATTTTATTAAATGTATTAAATATTTTAATAAAATAATTAATGATAAAATTGCTAAAATATAGTAGCAGTTGGAGTTTGATGTAATTTTTTTTAGATGTTAACTTTTGATACTCTATTTAAAAAAAATTATAGCATAACTGTTGGAGATGCTCTAAAAAACTTCACTTTTTGCTCAAAAAGAGACTCCCCTAGTTCACCGTTGAATGTTGTAAAGTGTGGGTTGGGTCTCGGGTTAAACTTTGTTCAAAAACCAGATTATTTTAGAAATTTTAAAAAAGTATGTTAAGCTTTCTTATAGGAGCATATTAAACAGTTTTGTTACGATAATTTTTTTTTTTACTGATATGAGAGAGTTTATTGCTTTAAGGCAAACAACTACGTTATATTATTTGATAAAATAGAAAAAAAAAGAATTAGAGGTTGCTTGGTAGTTACTGAATTGTTTGATGCAGAATGATTAAATGGTCAGAACGATTAAAATGTTCTTATGATACCGTGCAAAATGAAATATAATTGTTTGATAATTGTTTACAATAAAATTAGGGCGCTGAATGGTTAAGGCAGACCCATGATACAAAATCCCTCTGAGGGTTTTAGAACCATTAACAAGATTCACCTCTCAATAATTCAGATGTTGTCTATTAATAGAACTATAAAGAGATAAACAAACAACCCTTAAAAAAATTTCTAAAACTCTATTAGAAATGTTATTTAAATATTTTCCACTGATAAGAGGTATTGAAACGAAATATTTAGGTGAACAATAACCAAATTAGAGAACACAAAGACGACTAAATCATGTGCAAAATCACATGTAATCTCACACTAACAGTCGAAGCAAGAATGTCGGGTGATGTAGTATGCGATTTCAGGTCGCAAATCAGAATTGTGTGAATCATATGTGATTTTACACTTGATTTTAGTGTAAAATCATATATATTTCGACCGTTTTTTTGATCTCTTAAATTTCACGTATCACATTTAATTAATTTTCTCAATTTACATACATATGCTCACAGTTCCTGAACATATATACGAATGTGTCATATAGAGATGAAGAATAGATTGAAAATATGTATACATAAAGAGAATATGTGATAGTGTAATTGTCTAATGTATATATTAATAGAAACTCAACTATCATATTAAATCCAAAAAATAAAAGGATATCGGGTTCATCGAGTTAGGTTGAGTTCAAATAATAGTAACCACATTTCAACCTAATACTTATAGTCTGAAAATTTTATAACTTGATTAGACATTGAGTTGCTTCATGTTAAGTTATTTCGTATTGGGTTGATCGAGTTTTTAAACACCCCTAACCTATTAGCTAAAATCAAATAATCAATTAGTTTTCACTAAATATAATTTATTCATTAATTAATTTATCAACTATCAACTAACTTATTAACTAACAACTAACTTAATAACCATCAACTAACTTACTGAATAAATGCTTTTTAAAAACGAAATTTAAAATTCTAAAAAAAGAAATTTAATATGGATATTTTAAAATAAGGATGGTGGGACAAAGAAAACATGGCACGTGATATGTGTACACGTGGAAGGCGTTCACGGAGTAATTGTCACCGTACAGTCATTTTACCGTCGTCCCTTTCCCTTTGCCATCCCCTTTCAATCTGCAAAACACGTTTTCCCGAAGAATTCGAATCATCAATCCCAGTCGCTAGCAAACAAATTCAACATCAGATCCACGTCCGGAATCCACCTATTTTCCGATCACCGGAGTTTCTAGTTCGCCGTCAAGTTTCAGGTTCATCTTATTTATACTAATTTTGTTTTTGTAGTTCATCGAATACGTGATTTGATTAAAAAGCGATCTGTAGATTATTATATTGAATAGCAATTAGACTGAGATTTGATTTTCATCTGTTTAGTGCAATTGTTACTTGATTTCGATTTCGTGGTCTAAATTGAAGATTTGCTGCCGACGAGATGAGTGAGGTATTTGAAGGTTACGAACGCCAATACTGCGAGCTTTCTGCGGGTTTGTCGAAGAAGTGTACATCGGCTAGTCTTCTCGATGGAGGTGAGTCAAAAACCCAATCCGGTTTCATTATTCCTTTCCTGGTTATGTATTTGCAATTGCTATTAAACGTGGTTAGGGAATAGATTAAGCATGATTTTTTGGATAATTTTGAAATGTTAGATAATATAATGTTTCAACTTCCTCGATCTGATGTAATCCACCTGTTATGCTGATATGCATTCCTATGATCCTATTAGAAGTGTTCAGCATCAATTGTCCTGTTGGTTGAGATTTCTAAAAGTAAGTTGCTTGATTGTTCATCACCTCCAAGTCTATTGTCGATTGGATATTTTCTAAGCGAAAGGACTATTGTATTGTTGTCGTTTGTTTTTTCCCTGCCCATAATCACTCTGTAGCTTTTGACTTCTGAGGATGGAGATGCATTTTTATGCATTTGCAGAGCGTAGAAGCAGAAAGTTTTTGGAATAAAAGCTGGATTTTTTTCTTGTGAATGGCCTGCTATTTTGTTTTTTTATGTTTTTTCTTCAACTGCTTACATTCTGTGGCTTTTGAGGATGAAGATGCAGTTTTATTTGTTTGTAGAGCAGAAGAAGCAGAAAGTTTCTGAAATAAAAGTTGGACTTGATGAAGCTGAATCTCTGGTATTGTACTGGCCTACTATTGTTGTGAAATATTTCCTCATATATGTATACTTGTATACCACAGATTGATGTAATATTGGTATATTGCTCCAGATACGGAAAATGGATCTTGAGGCGAGAAGCTTGCCGCCAAATGTGAAGGCTGTGCTCCTTGCCAAACTAAGGGAATACAAATCTGATCTGAATAACTTGAAGAGTGAAGTTAAACGAATTGCATCAACCAGCTTAAACCAGGCTGCTCGAGATGAATTGTTGGAATCAGGAATGGCAGATGCAGCAACGGTATCCTTATCTTGTTTCTGATATGGGTTGTATTTTCAAAAAGAGAGAGGGTATCCTCTAGTCTAAAGTGCAGGTTGATGCTATCATCAAATCAAACCAACTGAGTATATCCCACCTAGAGGTTGGATCTGGGGGCTAAAATGTATGCAGACCATACCTCTACCCTAAAAAGTAGAGCGGTTGTTTCCTTGACGATCCCTGACTAGTGAAAAGTGTGTGAAAGGGAGAAAAACAAATGTGTTAAAAATTGAGAAGCTAGATTAGAGTAAACAATAGCAATAAAACTACAAAGAGAGAGACAAATATGCTAAATTTGAGAAACTAGATATGAGTAAGCAACAACAATATAAATAGAAATAAGTACGGGAAAAACATAACCAAGGAGGATGTTGTTATCGTTATTATTAATTGGAAATTGTCTTTGCCATCGGTTGAAAAGAAAATTACTTTCAAAATTTCAGGGTGCCAACTTTTTTGAAGTATATATAATAAAGAGAGAGAGAGAGAGAGAGAGAGGGAGGTTTAGGGGAGAACCCAAAAAAAATGAAAAACTGAGGAACACGCCAGTAAGCATTGATTTGGACGGTATGCACACGTGCATACAAGTGATTAAAGCTGTTTTTTAGTTTTTATACACGTGTGCGTGGAACATCAGGAGGGAAAGCTGTGGAATTATTAAGCATTGAGAATATATCTTTCGATTAGAATTTAATAAATTGCTGATGTCACAGGTTTCGGCAGACCAAAAGGGAAGACTACTTATGTCAACAGAGAGATTGAATAAAACGAGCGATAGAGTTAGGGACAGTAGAAGGACCATGCTGGAGACTGAAGAGCTCGGGGTTTCAATTCTTCAAGATCTAAACCAACAACGACAGTCCCTCCTGCATGCCCATGGAACGGTATGTTTTCATTTTATCTGTTTTACATGCAATATGCTACTAAACAATTAGGCCGTCTTTGGGAACCATAAGCTAGCTTATTTTTAAGATTACTGGAAAAAAATCCGTTTGGTTAGTCATAAACTAAGCTTTTTAAAAAACTACTTCAAGTAGTGTTTTAATAAGCTAGTTTTTTGAAAAACTACTCCAAGTAGCGTTTCAATAAACTAATCTTTTTAGCGTTTCAATAATCTGCAGGTTTATTTTTCCACTTTTCTTCTTCCAAATATGCCCCTTATTCAGTTAATTTTAAACATGTCCATTTAGGTTATTTTATATTGACATCTACTTTACAAGTTAGTTTTTACTAAACATAAACTAGTTTATAGCTAACAGCCAACTTATTAGAGCATCTCCAACAGATTCTTTGTGATTTCTCCTAAATGGAGAAGAAAGAGTTAAAATGTAAACAAAAGAATTGCATTCAACTTCAATAGCTTCTTATTTTGGAAATGAGTTAAAATGTAAACAAAAGAATTGCATTCAACTTCAATAGCTTCTTATTTTGGAAATTTCAGTGCTAACTATATTATTTAAATATTCAATAGATGTAATATCCCAACAAACTCTCAAACAAATTTCGGAGGATTCTCCAAATTTGAAGGTCTTTAACCTCTCCCACTTTCTCCATTTTAGATAAAGTCTTGAGAATTTTCCACTTCTCCATTTTGGTGCAAAAAGAAAGATTAAAACCTCCGAAATTTTCATTCTCTCCATGCTAATAGATTCTCTCAACTAGTTTTTACCAAAAAATGACTAATTTATCAGGCAACAACTAGTTTATCAGCTAATCCATCCTGAAAACTTAAATTACGGTTTTGCCCTTATGATTTTCAGCTTCATGGAGTTGATGACAACGTAAGCAAGAGTAAAAAGATCTTGACCAACATGTCGAGAAGGATGAGCAGGAATAAATGGATCATCGGGTCCATCATTGCTGTGCTCGTTCTCGCCATCATCTTAATCCTCTATTTCAAGTTGAAGAAGTAAGACAGACAACTCTTCTGCTTTAAGTGTTTACCAACCCTTTTATTGGCCTTATTTTTGCTGCAAGTGTGTGCTATTCATTGTGAATTTACCATATTTGGTTTAATTCAACCAAAAAAATAGCAAAAAAAAAAAAAAAAAGAGTTCCTGTTTGCAACTTCTATGCTTTTCTATGATTGCTATGAGTGGATCATTTCAGAAAATTTGTATCTTTTTCTATCAATTTTTTCATAATGGAAGAAGCTTTATTCTTGTTGACATATGTCTTTATTCACTAGCATTGCATCAGTTTTGGGTAGGAAAGTGTTCATTATGGTATTTGCATTAAAAAGTTGTGTTCTTTCACTTGATTTGATACATTATAATGTTAGATAGTCGAAGACAATCCCATTGATAAGTTAGTTGTTAGTTGATAAGCGAGCTTGCTTGTTGGTTGAAAAGCTAGCTACTGACTAACAAGTTAGTTGATAGCTGAAAAGTTAGTTCTTGGCTGAAAAACTGATCACCAAACTGATAAAATAACTTGTAAGAGAGTAAGAGGATTTTCAATATATTCTCTAATTTTTTCCAAAATGGAGGATACAAATTATAATCTTAAAAAGATATATATTTAACTTAAACTGTTTTTTCGTTTTGAAGATTGCAATATTAATTATTTTTTAAAATGTTTAATAAGTTTAATATTCTAGTACATACTTCAAAAAAAAAGTTTAATATTCTAGTAAAGTTAAGAATAAACGATATATAAATGGCATCCATTGGTGGAAACAATAAAAAAATCCTTTTATTTAGTACTCTTTCCGTCTTAAAATAAATATCTGTAATGAAAAATGTATACGGTTTTAAGAATGTGTAATCATTACATTTTCTAATCAACAAAAGGACAATTTTACCCTTAATCGTAGAGAGATTTTTTTTTATCTCATAATTAAGGGCAGGATGGAAAAGTAGACATTTACATTTGAAATTTGATACTTATTTTGAGTTGGAGGGAGTGATATTTTAGGAGAGTTTACTAAATTTAGAGTTTTTAGCTTCTCTTTTCTACTTCATAAGTTTTAGAGAATATCTTAGAAAAAGAGTGTCATATCTCTAAAATCTCATTTTTTTTTTCCCATTTTGCAAATTCTGTTTGAGATCTCTTTAACTAGTCATGTCTGATAATAACTAAGGATTGCAATTTTGTACCAAATCAAAATGACCAACTTGTGTACCAGTTGTATCAATTTAATCCGTACCAGTTGTAATCGGTTGATAGTACCAAACAAATTATAAAACATTGGTTGGTACATGATATTGAAAGTCTCATACCATGCTAGTATCAATTATGGTACATACTTATTTAATTATTTATTAGATTTTATGTATTGAAATTGAATGCTAAACATTATAACTTTAACTTTTTTGGTTGAGCATTTGAATATTTGCAAGTTTTATTCCCTCTAATTAAAAACCGTTAAATATGATGCGTCACCCGCAAACTCGAAATGCCACTAAAAATTTGAATAAAATTGCGAGTTTTCATATATGTAACTTAAAATTAGTACAAACCGGTATCAACAAATACCATCTGAAAAAAGATGGTACCAAATAGTGTAGGTTGGTACATATTGTATGATTTTGCATATCAATTATAAGTAGTTGGTACACAAAATTAAAGAAAAAAACTTATATCATATGAAGTTCACTTTTAATAACAACTATCAGATAAATTAGATGACAATGTAAAATCAATTAATTTTAAAAAAGTAAATTGAAAAAAGAAATGCAAGGCATAATTGGGTAAAAGAATGAGTGGAGCACCGGAGCTTATTAAACTCTATTATAAGCATTTTTACAGGCTTCTTTTTTATACACGACTTGTCTTTTCTATTCAGAAAAAATGGCTGAATCAATCAGCAACATTAAAAAAAACTGTGAAACCTCAAACTAATTTCCTTGTTTGTTCGTTCTTGAATTTGGTATAATCGGCAAGCAAGCTACCATTCACTTTCTCCTTCATGTTTTCCACCAATCGCTTCAACACCTATATAATCAAACCATTCATTATACCTTTTATTGTTTGCAAGGTACTTTATCTAAACAAAAGAGTGCGTTTGGTGTACAGACAAAATTGTACTGAAGTGGAGGGGTGAGAGTAAGCTGAAGCCAGACCTAGAAATTTTTTCAAGTGACGATACTGTTTAATTGTAAAAAAACGAAGCTTTGGATGCCTTTTTTATTAGTTTATTGCCTATTTGACGTAAGATCTTGTGTATGAGTCTATAAAATAAATAAAAATTAAAATATAATAAACCTAAAAGTAAAAGCTAAAAACTAAGAAAATGATCAAATGAGAACCGACCCACGTCTAGAAAGAGTGCAAGCCAGCTCTACCAAGAGAAACCTGTGTTATTATTCTAGTTTCAAGGAATATAAGTTGCATCCAACAAAATAAGATGACACCTTTCATGAACCTAATTTCTTTTAAACTACAACGAAGGAACGAAGCAGTTGCTCATGCCACCCTATATACCATAGTGGGTCCCCCCTAAGAGAGAGAGAGGCAATTGAAAAAATTGTGAAAGATTTTAGTGTTTTAATTTGACATAATAAGTTTAGTAATTTACTAATTTTGTCTCACTTTCTTGATAGATGAAACAAAAATGACATTTTTGTCTCATTCAATCTTTTTTTGGTTTGATGTCACGTCAAAACGTGAGACAACACGTTTTTTGTTCTGTCTCATCTCATTCTATCTCACGTACCAAACGCAACGCATCTTAAAGGAATGAATTATGCTAAAAGCAAATTGAAGGTCTAACCGTTTGTGCAACATCTCGACGAACATCCTCTGGGATCAAAGAAAGCACCGGAGGTAATTCAAATGTTATGCTCATGGTCAATTGACCTCTAAGTCGACTTAGGTTTCCTTGTCGATAAGGGTACAAAGCCCCTTTGACACCGAGGGTGAATTCAGACGGCTTCAAAACGTCTTCTAGCCCTTGAAGCTCCCACCTTACCTGCATTTGAGCATCCACGGTGGCAAGCTTTTTCATTAAAGTTTCTTTAACAGGAAAGTGAGATCCACAGGATAAAAATCACTTGTTTCAAAATGAGACATCTTATTCATGTCCCAACAATGAAATTAAGATACAGGAGATTTTTATTTATTTTAAATTTATTTAATTCATGTTCATTTTCTCTCTCTACTTGTGTATATTCATATGATTGAGGGATATGAATAAAAAGAGTGATTTTTATCCAGACCTGCGAGCTATATGTGACCAAACAAAACGATAAAAGAGAAGTGGGACCCACAGGTTTATTTAGAGCATGTGTACGGTTAGAAGAAAACAACTCACTATGTCGAGATCAAGAACTTTGGTGACATGGGATGGCACTCCGGTCGGGTAATCGTATCCATTTGATTTACATCTCAATCGTATGTCGATCACCGGATTACAAGTCAAGAAAAGAAATTGTATTGGTAGCATATGTACTCTCCATTCTTCCTGTACAAGATTCACTCACAACATCAAAAAAAAAAAAACAAACAAACAAACGCACTCAGTATATCCTACCTCGAGGTGGGATATGTGTGTGTAGATCTGATCTCTACCTCAAGAGTAGAGCGACTATTTCCATGAAATCCCCCGAATTGTGAAAAGTGTGTGAAAAAAGAGAAAAGGGATATACCTCAAGAGTAGAGCGGCTATTTTCATAAAAACCCCGTTTGTGGAAAGTGTGAAAAAAGAGAGAAGGATATAAGTGGATTCAGGAATAAACATAACAAGGGAAAAGAAGCTACAAACACTTGATCTAACCTAAAGCTATGGTAACTGAACTAACGACTTACTGATCTTATTACTCCTAAAAGAACACTAAATTTAACGCCAAAAAACAACGGAAAAAATGTAGTTTTTATAAGTCATTACCATGATGAAGATTCCATATATGTCACTAACATGCTTCCAGTTCCTATACAAGAATCTAGGTTTTTACCTCGATTGTTATGTCAAATGTTATTTTTATTAATGAAATATATATATATATATATATATATATATCCACGTTATATAAATACATTGGACCGACCCACAAAAGATAATTTTGTAAGTGACTAGTGAAGTGGAGTTTTATAGAGTTTTTTAGTTTGTTGAGTTGACAACAATGTGGTAAAAAAATGTAAAAAAATAGATTCTTATTAGAGCAACTTCAATCATACGTCGAAATAACATTTTTTGTCGTTCTCTAAACTCCACCAGGTCGACAAAATGTTGTTTGTGCGCTTGGATCTCGATAGGAGCACCAACGGATCTTTCACAATTTCCCATAATGTAAGAAGTAAAAAGTGAAAATTCAAAGAAAAAAAGCTCTAACAATTTTTTTTATTTTAAAGATTTCAATTTTAATGATATGATTAAAATATACTAGCCTGTTTTCGTGAAGCCCGTAAGACCATTTTTTACACTTGAAACTTTACAGCAAAATGCTATGAAGAAAAAAGCCGACCCTTCGGGACAAAAACATTGTGAAGGTTTCACAATGTTTTGCTGTGAAGTTTCAAGTGTAAAATTGATGTCATGGATCTCACGAAAATAGGTTCATCACCCGTGAATTCAACCACTACTATCCTATCATTTACTATCTTATCATTTAAAATAAATTTTATATAAAATAATAATAAATTCAACTTTCTCCATTTTTAGGAAAGCCATTGAAGATTATCTAACAAGCTTAGAATTCTCGATAATGGAAAAAATTGGGGAAGTTGAATCCTTGAACCAAATAATCGAAGCAAAATTCAATCAATGGTAGAAGAGACGGATGAAATCACGAACTGATATCAATTTGCAACTCGGATTACCGCTGGCAAGAGATTAATCATAATGAATTTAAGTTTGATGCACAATGAAATTAGGTAGAAATGAATACATACTTCATCGAGTTGTTGGCTTCTACGCTTGTCAGGGACGATTGCTTTGAAAACTCTAGGCTTATCCTCCAAATATTGATCGAACGAAGCCTGTATCAATCACAACAACTTCGATTTACAGATCTGAACACAAAAAATCATCTGAACAAACACACACACACACACACAGATGGAACAGATTATGTCAAAACACACACACAGAGGTGGAACAGATTACGTCAGGCGATTCGTAGAGATATATATCGGTAGCAATTCTGGAAGAGTAGGTTGAAGCATTCGATAATCGGCATTTGAATCTCAATCGAAGTCGTGATTTCGGAGATGATTCTTCGTTGCTTTTCAATGAATTGTGCTTCAGCACTTTCCTCTTTAAATCTCTGGCGATAGTGATATTGGTGGCGGCATGTGTGATTTTTGGTATGCTATGGTGGTGGTGGTGGTGGTTGCATGATCTTAGTACCGGAAGAACTGCCATTGACGATAGAACGATCATCGATGATATAAATGCATTTAGATTTAGGATTGAGAGGGAGAGGCTGACGGTGAAAGGAGGCCCTTCCGAAGATCACACGGCGGCGGCGACGAGAGTTATCTGAAAGGGAATTTTGTAGTTGAGGTGGCAACTTATTAGTGGATGAGGAGCTAACACGACGGTATGTTTGTGTATGGGTATTTTTTTTATCTATTAATAGTTCCATTAATGCAGTTTTTGAATCGCTAAAAAATGAATATTGTTTGACAGAAAAAAAGTCGGTTTCTTAATGATTTTAAAACCTTCTGAATGATTTTGTATCTTAGACCTCTCTTAACCATTTAAAAGAAGAAAACTCAAAATTTAGGGTTATTATAGCTAATTAAATATTAATTAATAACTAAAAAAATAAATAAATATTTAAATATATAAAAATACATACGATACCATAATACAGTAGTTCAGGATTTCTGGTATCAGATGCGAAGTAATTAATGAATTAAGTTGGTTCTGATTAAATTAGTACAACTGATACCTATATTGGTTAGTTTAATTGGGGAGTGATAGATAAATGACTCTTGTTGATAGAGAATTGTATGTGGTAAAAAAGAGCAAGGCTTCCTGAACATGACCATAACGTAAGTTTTATAGCATACAGTTAATCATTGAACCCATCTCATAAATTGCATGAGCTTCTTTCTCAAGATCTTTCATACTCACTCCATTTCTTTGTTTGACGATATGTTTCTCTGTATGCAACAACCCACTTGTTTGCACTTTCGTTAAGTCATGCAAAACGACCTTTGATTTGATTTTCGTTTCTGATGCTCAGTCCTTCTGCAATTTTTTGCTCAAGTTGCATCATAGTAATCTCACTCGTGACCAAAACTTCCGTGCTTTTTGGTTTTTGCCACAAGTAGGTTCTTCACTAATGAATATCTACGTTGATATCAAGACTATATGTTCTTTTGTTTCTCATTTATCGGCTCTTGAGCTTTTTTGTGGGGTTTGGATATTTTCAGGGATAGAAACCTGATTATTATAACAAGAAAAACTTTCATATTATGTCTTAATGGGATAATTTTGAGAGTTATAAGAATGCTAAGAATTAAAAAATATTTTTTTGGAAAATTTGGATCCATAACAGAAAATTGAAAAAACTCGGAGATTTTATAATTTACAAGATAATGAGAGTATTGAAATGAAGAGAAAAATCCATGTGAAAAAAAATATGTTGGACTCTAATTGTAGGAAATTGGAAAATGTGAATGTTGGTATATATATTTTAATTTTTTTTTGGTTAAATTCACTTTTAATAGGTTTTATCCTAAAAAATTACATCCAAAGTTGTCACTTTTATACATCGTTGTTATATATAGGAGCAGACTTGGGATCATGTGAGACCAAAGGTTTTTCGTGAGACCGGTAAGAACAATTCCCAACCCTTGGATTAGATCTACAATCTAAACATTCATAATCATAAAATTGCCACGAGACTTCACAATAAATTGTCACTGTGCAACTTTAGACCATTAGATCATCAGCTTATAAAATTGATCAATGAACATAAATTGGTTTTATGGATCTTACGAAAAACCTTTGGTCTCACATGAAGCCAATCCTATAGAAGCATTTTAAACTTGTAACATTATAGTTCAATCCAAAAGGAAAAAAAGCAAATTGACAATCTTGGTTAGTGTGGTGGAGATTGCCATAGTTGTTTTTTTTTTTATTCACAACCTGATCGGTGGGATTGCTGAATAGATACAATAAATCAATCAAATTTTACACATCGTCGAGTTTTATAAGATTCATTTTTTATTTATGCTCTTAAATACGATCATACAATACAATCATACGTGGAAACAAAATATGTTTCATCGTTTACATTTCACAACAAACTCGGTACGCTTGATCTCGACCTCAAAAAGCTCGATTATAAAAAAGAAACCCGATCCTTTTACGACAAGTAAAATGTTAATCACCAAAAAACACATGCATCATATCATATCATATCATCATTCGCCGATTAACAACGCCTTATTAATGATACCGATTTGACGAATAAATTCATTTCCATTCTCTTATTAACGATTCTCATCAAATTTTGGTCACGTTACGGAATCAACATCGGAATGCTTTTTTTGAGAAGAAAAATGTCGTGTTGTTTAACCGGCATCGTGATGAATGACAAAAGGTGCATTTGAGTTTAGGTAATTAACCAATAAATAGATCTAGGGAAACTTTGGTTATACGACTATGTATGTATGCTAGGCAGAAAAGGGTACCCGAAGAGCCATTCTTTGTGCCAGCCAAGGCCTTTCGGGGTTTGGGTCGATGAAAGAATGCATTAGGAATTGTTCGGCTTCTTCCTTAACTAGTTCTCTCGCCCACGTTACACGTTTATCCGAACCACTCCCTGGCCCGAAGCATCTGCATTGTTTAACAAACATGTCCCCGTTTAGTTAGGTTATGTTCGGCAAATGAGCTGATTTGACTGATAAGCTAGTTGTAGGCTGATAAACTAGATGACAATGTAGTTAGGTTATGTTTGGCAAACTAGATAATTTGACTTATAAGATAGCTGTAGGCTGATAACTAGATGATAATGTAGTTCCGTTATGTTTGGCAAACACTGATTTGACTTATAAGCTAGTTGTAGGCTAATAAACTAGATGACAATGTAGTTAGGTTATGTTTGGCAAACTGGCCAGTAAGCTAGCTGTTAGCTGATGCCTAATAAGCTAGGTTGTTAATTAAGCTAGCTGATAAACTAGTCACTTTTGATAAAAACTAGCTCACAAACTACACGGCAGTATAAAATGACCTAAAAGGACATGTGGAAAAAGTAATTGGAAAAATGTTAGGGGCATAATTGAGAAAAAGCACCTGACCTTATTGAAGTTTCTAAAAGCTAGTTTATGGCTTACCAAACGGGGCTTTTTTATTAAGTTCAAAAAATAAGTTTCTTATGGTTGCGAAAAATGGCTTTAATCAACAAAATCTTATAATAATGATGACTCTTTACGTATAGATACCTGTACTCATAAAAGCAAGCAGATCTCTCGTTCTCGGTTTTGCCCCAGTTATTCCAACCATGGTGTTTGATACACGCATCCATGTACGTGTGTGCAAAAACCACCCTCCCGAAAGGCCCCCATGGCCGCCCAAGATACGAGTATGCTGTCCCTCCGTTGCCAGTTATGACACACCTGCATTGATACAAAGGGTAGTTATTTTGTTGTCGTCGTGAGGAAGCAATGAGTCAAGTTTTATAACCTAGACATAATTTTCAAGAGATTTCAAAACCCACCTCAATAATCCATATTTCAATTTAGATCAAACCAAATTGACCCTGTAAATCCCACTCGAAAGTGAGGTCTTGGGTTGATATGTAGGCAGACCTGATCTCTACCCCGAAAGAGTTGAGAGGTTGGTTCCATGAGAAACCCCTTGACTTGTTTACGAGTGTGAGCAAACAGGTAGAAGGAATAAAGACTAACATACGGTGAACAATTCAAGTTCTAGTTTGCCGACAGAAATCTATGAATGTAGACTATGTTAGTGAAAAAAAAGGGCAATTTCCAATTCCATTATCTAATTGTCAATCTATTGCCATATAGCAAACTAAAGTAGTCCTTTAAACCAAACCAAACCAAACAAAACAAGCACAGTATATCCTACTGGGAGGTAGGTCTCGTCGCCCCGTGTCCCAGGGGGGGGGGGGGGTTGGGGATATGCATGCATATTTAGTCAAAGGTTAAACAAATACCAGTATCAAATACAAATCGAATAACTTAAGACATGGCCAAATGGTAGTTGACTGCATACCTCAGGAATACATAACCAGTAGCCTCTTGAGAAGATTTTCTACTTTGGGCAGTTATGAAACCGGCTGATTTGCAGTGGATGTGACAATGTTCCAGCAAGGCGGTGCTATTCCCGAAAATGAAGTCCACACTTCCCTCAATATAGCAATCTTTTAAATATTGCTTCCCGTAATGCAAATAAAGGGTATCCTGCAAAAAGGTTAAAAGTTCAATATTCCTTTGCTGGATACCAGAATGCCCTAAGTGATGAATAGGGATAGATGAAAAAACACAGATGCTACTCAATCTGAATACAGTGAATATAAGTTATATCTTGGTGTTGGTCAAAGGCAAACGGGAAGACTCCATAACAACAGGAAAATTTGTACCACAAACTAGTTGGTGCATGCTAGAAGTGAGACCAAAGATGCCCTAACGGGCGTGCTTAAGTGGTTGGGGTCCACTTAGGAGATTCTAGAGGTCCTGAGTTTGAACACCACAATTGTGTAGTGGAAAGCAAAGGGCGGAAGACAACGATTTCAATGGAAGGAGGACAGTTTCACCTCTAACGCTTCTTCTTCAATAGAAAATCTATCAATGGCTTCTTTAATCCATTGTTTGTCACCTAATATTGAAGTCATGGTCTACCACTTTAGGGACTTGACACTCTAGGGCGATCTGTACTAGTCTAGCCCCCCTCTCAATACAAGGACAATTTTTGCGTCTAGCCTCCGTTGGAGGGGGAGTGTTAAGAGTCGCGTATCAGCTAAACTTGGACTACTTATCCTCAATATATGTTGGAACCCAAGCTGACTGCCAACAGATATTCATAGCAAGTTACTACTTTTGGTCAGTTTAAGTTAGTTCCTAGCTTCCGTTACCGGCCTATAAGAAAGAATGCCCTTACCTGCCACCCAAGAAATCTGCAATTGTAGAAAGCACAACGATCAGCTGTTACTCTGATAGCCACAGCCTGGCCAGAACCCTGAAAAAAAGGAGTTAGTAAGAACAAAGCCACAGGACTTGAACCCCATAACTGAAATCATGGAAAAAGAAATAACACCTCAGGAGCAGAGTTCTCAAATGTGATATTTTCAGCAATGAAATCCTCCCCTTCAACGATGGTACTACCACACCCAAACGTTCCAGTTCCAATCAATCGTGATGGCTGTGCATATCAATTACATGAACACATTAAAATGGTGCAAATTAGGGAAGCCTTAGGTTCTATCTATAGAACATGATTACTTCGATATTCAATTCACTATTAATGTATATCAGGTAAAACTGCAGCAAATTTGTGCAAGATGCAGATCGAAGTGAATCGACGTAGACTGATGGCACAAAAACGAATTACCGATCACTCATCAACGTAGACGTTTCGGTATACAAATAGAAACATGAAATACGATACGCGAAAGGCTTATCATTAGGGTTTAAGGAAGAATTCCGACCTGATGATGATCAATTTTGTTGGCGGTGTTGTTCCAGGTGATAACAGTGAGTTCGGGGCTCAATCCGGCGAGCGTGATGAGGTTTTTAGTCTTCGGCACGTACACCGGCTGCTTGTAGATCCCCGGAGACAAACGAATCACAGTCCGGCGAGTGTTGGAGAAAGGTACGGTGTCGATTGCCTCTTGCAACGTCCGGTAGTCACCGGTTCCGTCGTGCGCCACCAAAATCACTCTGGCCATGGATCTTCGCCTTACTTCTTGTGAATTATACCGTCTACAGAAAGATTGGAAGATGATCTCGAGAAGAAGCTATGGAATCCAATACTCCATGATATCAGTAGTTCATTGTGGCCCTCGAATCTATCCTTTTGTAACATCGGAGATTTTAATGTTAGCGGTTTAAACGAGTTTTATTGCACTCCCACCTTATTCTATCAGCTGATCATATAGAAATAGGTCTAATCGCCTATTCGGTTTGTTTTCTATTAAGACCCGTAGTTGTACGTAGATTAATAGATAAGTTGTTTTTCGATTGTTATACTGAATAAACAGTCTGAATGTTAGAAACGTTCATTTTAATTGTGTTTTATTTTTGTCTCGATAAAACACAATTTGATAAAAGTGTTGAACAAATCACTTTTTAATTGTAAATTTTTACGGATCAATGATGGATGAGTCGTTGGATCTGCAGTCCATCAATGATCCAGATAACGACCGTTCTAAATTTCTTTACACACGTCAAGAGCTTAGGTTCATTCAACATCAGCCATTTGAGGACACCAAATATTTTCTTGTATATAAACCGGAGTCACTGGCTTTATCTATTTCTTCCTACAACGGAACTCATCCTTTGCAAAACTATGAGTCCACTAGTTTAGATTTTTGTCAAACTGCGGTGATGACGCTTGGTCCGTACACAGGCTATGCTTCGATTTTGAAAGGATCCAAGTTCTTGAAGCTGGCGCAACAACAGTTGGATGGAATTTGTGATGTGGGTTTTGGTGTTGAATGTGGGTAGATGACAGATCCTCCTTCATTAAAGAATCGAAGGGTTGAATACGAAGGGGAAAGGCTGTCGGGGAGGGGTAGTTGGAGGAAATTCAATCGTTGAATACAAATGATATAAGTTTTGTAGCCTAGCGATTCAGCTATGAACTGACCAAATAAGCCCTTACCGAACAGTTAGATATGGTTGTGCAAATAAGTCATATAGCTTATATATTCCATTAAGTTGCAGCCGAACAACCTCTAAGTTAATAAATTATCTTTAAATATTAATCCGTCTGAATAAATTAAGATAAATTATCATTTAATTTTGATTTTTAACAAATAATCTGAACAACAAAAATGACCATTTTAACCTTACGTGTATCTAAGTATTGAATGAAAATAAACTGTTTAATAAATATTTAAAATGACAAAAAAAATTAAAATAATATGAATTCACGGAGTTCACAACATAATATTTAATAACTTAAAATACATTTAAAACATTATCATTTGGTTAAATTTTTTAATTTATTCATGTTGATAAACTATCTTTTTTAATAAGACATGTGATTAAAAAAATTAAAGGACAAGGGTAATTTTAAAACAGTTATAGCTTAATGCATTCAGACAAGATCAACTAACTTTATCATATTAAGCCATCTCTTATCATTATTAAATTCAAACACTTTAATATGACTTAATCAATTAATCAAACCACTCGTTAAGCTTATTAAGTTGTAAACAAGCACCCCACTTATTTAATAAGCTTTTAAGAAAGCTTTATGGAAAAGCCAACTTTTTCCAAACCATATCCTCCCATTTAAAAAAAAACGTTTCTTTTATCTATGAAAAACTCTCGCAAACAAAAAAAAACTAATCTATACAGACTTATTAAAACATACATACAGTTTTATTTATACATGACTTAATGAAAATTTAACCAATAAACCCCTAAATGTCATATATCAGAGGCAGTATAAATACAAACTCTGACATATAAACCAACCAAATGAGATATATGTGGAAATGATGAGTGTTTATCTATTATAATTTTGATATTTATGAAAACTGGTCAGAATTCATTCATTATGATTAACGTTTTAAATCAAAAACAGTCGAGATATTTATGAATCCAGATATTCATCAGATTAGATAGACAGTTAAAATTGATTTCTATAATTTACACTAAAGGGTTTGTATTTGATACTCTCTTCATATAATTATTAGAGTATATTTTTAACAGCAAATTAAATGAAAGTGTAATGGACTTTGTTTGGGATTTTTATTGTACTCACATTTTAAAGTCAATTTCTAAATTAGCTATTCTTTATGCAAATAAGCCGCCCCAGCACAGCAGGCGGGTTGCTTCTTCTGTCGTTGCCGGGGAGCTCTTGGCGAGGAGACCTTAGGATTCTCTTAAAAGAGAGGGGTGCCTTCGGGAACGTGGATACAGGTGGTGCATGGCTGTCGTCTCTTGGGACTGACTTCCAGGCCCGTTCCTGACATTTTATAGGCCCTGGGCGAACCTAAAAACAGGGTCCACTGCAAGAAATAAGGCTTTTAACAACGATTTTTTTGTCGCTAAAAGTCTATTTATGATCAGAATGAGTATATAACAATAACATGTCGTCGCTATAACTTGTGGCGGAAACATGTCTCGCTAAAAGGCGCATCGTCAAAGCTCACTTTTCTTGTAGTGACCCTCGGTAAGTACGAAAACAAATTCAATAAATGTTTTTATTAGTATAAATTTGAGTACAATAAATGTTAATAATTTAATGAGGAAATAAATCTTATTTACCTTTATAATATATAATATAAGAGAGTACTTAAAGTTTACGTACTTCTTATTAGGTAATTTGAAACCAAGAGTATAGAAACTATGGTTGATAAATTTTTATAAAAAGTAATAATTTTTTTAGTTCATAACAAGTGTTATGTGTTATTTTGATATAAAAATATAATTTTATTTTTCTTCTTCTTTTGCTCAACTAAAATAAGATGTTAAGATTAAAAGTTTATGGAACATGACATATATAAGAGACAATACTAAATAAATCTAGTAGAAAAATTTTATTGATTAATCACAAAACCATGAAACATGTCATAAATTATAAGAACAGATTGGTAAAATATTTTATGTGAAGCAAAAGTAGATAACAATTGTCAACAAAAAACAATTAGAACAACATAACCAAATAGCAATAGTCAATAGAATCAGAAATTGATAAAAATATCTAACAAAAATATATAACAATAGCAAGAACATGATCTTAACGTTGAATTGTTGAAGCACGAAAACAGTCAAGCATATAGAGATATGAATAACCAATATCATTGGACATTGTTGAAGATAAAAAAAAATTAGAGAGACAATAAACAATAGTATATAATGAATGACCAATTAATTTTTTTTATTTTATTCTCAAATGTAATTTAGTTGATATATTTTTGGGCCCTTATTATCTATTAAATTCTTTTTGCTTCTTATTATATACTACAATTTTTTGATTTCTTTGATTTATTAAAATGTTTTAGCCTATTATTGTATTTTAAGGGAAAATTTTGGGTCCCTAATATTTTTGGGCCCTGGGCGTACGCCCGTGCCGCCCTCCCCCAAGGACGACCCTGCTGACTTCCCATTGCAAAGCTAGAAATAGATGCTCAGCCTGAAATGTCGTTTTACATATTTTTATAAACCACATTTTCTAGTAAAAAGAAAAGAAAAAAGGTCATTTGCGTAAAAAAAAGTATATATTTACATAAAAAAATATCTAAAAATTGACTTAAAAATATGATTAAAAAGTGAAGTAGTGTTTAAATAATAAAGATGGGCTATTTCAGGCAATTTAACCTAATTTATCTAAGAGAAATTGCATGAAAAAAGTAACGTACTTTAATTTGATTCCTATTTTGAGTAACGTATTTTTACAACTTCTATTTTAGCACATAAGATGTAAAATTTTAAATATTTAAGTACCCAAATAACCGGTTGAAGTATTAACCGATTACCATACTGATGTGACGAATGATATCAGCAAAGATTTCTTACCATCAAAATATATCGTGGTAAACATCTTTTACCTGATAAACGCTTATCGATTAAGAGTTTTATTCCTCACTTGCTGGATAAATTTTTTGATCCCTACTATACCTCTTACCATATAATATATTCTCGGTTCTTGTCATGCTTATCGGTAAGCTGACATCCGGTAAGAGTTTGATAAACGATCTTAATTCAAGTAGGTTTCACAATTCAAAAGGGGTCAGTTTGTTAATTAGATTAATTGTAGGGGGTGAAAATGAAACATTTCATCATTTTAACTTTTAAGGTCGTTGAAGATCTACACAAAAAGCTAACGAGTGGACCCACAAAAAGCGGAAATTAGATAATTAATGGTCCACAATGCACCAAATAACGACGTCGTGTCGCATCCTACCTCGCTCTATATAAGCCCACTACCCTTCGCCGTTGGGTTTCAACCGTAACCAACGACCAACCATGTCGTACTTCCCGAAAGGCCACCACCGTAAAAACGCCGGCAACGATGAAGATGTCGACGATTTCGACGAGTTTGATCCAACTCCGTACGGTGGCGGTTACGATATTAGCCTTACATACGGTCGCCCTCTCCCTCCTTCCGACGAGATATGCTATCCCCCCTCCTCGTCCGGTGGCGGTGGTGGGTCGGGATATGGATCTGGATCTGGATATGGGCGTCGAACGGAGCATGGTTCGGAGTATGGGTCCGGCCATGGGCGCCGTAGCGATCATCATGGGTCGGAATATGGGTCGGAACATGGGCGCCATAGCGAGTCTGGATATGGAGGGAGGACTGAGCATGGATCGGAATATGGGTCTGGGCATCGCCGGAGGAATGAATCCGATGAGTATGGATCAGGGCATGGCGGTGGTGGACGGAAAAGTTATGGGCAGTCTGAGGATGATGATGATCGGAAACCTAGGTATGGCCGGAGAAATGACGACGACGACGATGATGATCGGAGACCTAGGTATGGCCGGCGAAATGACGACGACGATGATGATGATCGGAAACCTAGGTATGGCCGGAGAAATGACGACGACGACGATGATGATCGGAGACCTAGGTATGGCCGGCGAAATGACGACGACGATGATGATGATCGGAAACCTAGGTATGGCCGGCACAATGATGATGATGATGATGGCATTCGTGGTCGGAGGAAATATGTGAGCTATATCCACCTTCTTCTTAACTCTCTATTTAATGATAACCGTGAGATTCATTCACAACCATGCATGTTAAATTGATATATCGTAATTCATACTGTGATTACTCAAACATCGAACTCGAGGCCTGTCTTGTATTTAGGCAAAGTCGTCTGTCATCCCGCCCTTTGCCAACTGAGCTGCATGTCGAATGCATTCTCTCGGTATTGATATATTTCAGTGGTTTTTTTTCGAGAGTAATCTAATGTGGTTTCACAAATAGAATCTGGATTTGTGGTCGTTGAATTTGACATTTTTTAACGTTTGCGTTACATTTTTTCAGGGAGATGATGACGACGACGACGATAGGAGAAGGATGAATCAATATCAGTCTCGCAGACATGACTACGATGAATGAGCATCAACATTCTATAGTGTCGGTTCTCGAGTTCTTTTTTCTGTATACGGGCTTTTAGTACTAAATAAAGACCTTAGCATTAGAGCATTTGGCTCAAGAATGCCAAAAAGGTCTCGGGTTTTATACAACGTGTAAAACCCTGTGAGTATTTTGTTCAAACGTTTGTCTGTTTGTTTCTATATAAAAAAAATCTCAACTTTTCGAGTTAAGGTTGTCTTAATCGACTTCAATTCCCCATAACAGATTGCTCATATGCTTTCGCTTTCCATAGGACGTTATGAAAGTTATCAGTTTAAATCTCGAAAACAGACAGATTAGCTGAATAATCTTCTCAAAAACTGAATTTAATAAACTAATCTCTATTGACCAAAAGAGTACCTTAATGTATAAAAGAACACAAGAAGAGCATGTTTCTTAATTGTCGAAGTCAGTTGAAAGTTCAAAAGTTGCGGATATTTAGTAAAACCACGGATTGGATTGGTCGTCTAGACCATTATCGATGCTATTTTGTTGAGCCATGAACTCACCCGAGCTCGGCATTGTTTTGGCTGCTACGACATTAGCACGAAGAAAAGCAGTTTCCGCTCGAGCTTTTGCTAGTTGGGTTTGGGCTATATGTATCTGTCGATGCAATGACGATATTATTCCGACACACCCGTAAACCGGCTCTTGTATTCTCCATTTGGCCTCGTAATACAACGAATCAACTGCATCCACTCGTAGGTGCATCGGCAATTCCTATATAAAATCACAAACAATCAAATAAAACGATAACAAATATGTTGGAAAACAACGTTTTTCAACAAAAAGAAAAAAAATCATTTTTTTTTCTTGTGGGCCCCATTTAAAAAACCTGTCGATGAAAAACTTTACCATTGTGAATACTCTAAACACGGTCAAAATCGACAAAGGAACAAGATTACATTCAAGATTTATTACCTCGAGCATCTTACCGATGTTGCTGGCACCGTATATTCTATGAACGCAAGTGAATCTTTGCGGGTTATCGGGAGGGAAACAAGGTGCGAAAACACAGTCCGAAGGGCATCTTCGTCTGAAATACTTGCAAACCGCACATCGAGTTGAACTCATCCGGTCAAAATGTGAAATGTTTTACAAGAAATTCAAGAAAAATCTAATGGAAGATTTGATGATGATCTTGAAATATTTATCTCAAAAGTGTTTGAGATTTTGAATTAATATCCAACAACTTAACGGCTAAGTTTTCAAAATTTTGTGTGATAAAAGGAAAGTTATTAAATTATAACGATCCAACGGTTGGATTTAATTTATTTCTAAATAATGGCAATTGTAACGATCCAACGCTTAATTTATTTCTAAAGATTGGCAATTGTAACGATCCAACGGTTAATTTATTTCTAAAGATTGGCAATTGGAAATTGACCTAAATTTGCTAACGAAATTCGAATTTAGAACTTTTATATCACCATCTCATAATTTAGGAAATATGTCCCTCGATGTCCACGAATAGATGGATTCACTTCATCTATTTATTGAGTAAACAAAATAAAATAAAGTTCAGATTGCATGAAACATTAATCGATTACCATGCTGATGTAGCGAGTGATATGATATCCAACTCATATTATTTGCTGAAACATTAACCGGATACCACATCACTAATTTTGACACGGTTAGAAAGTCTCGGACTTTATGCATCTATGCATAGAGTTGAAGTTATAGAATTTCTCATTTCTCACCGGTAATTAAAAGCGTTACGTAAGAAAATTTTCCCAACTACATCATGGAAACATAACGCTAAATGCGAATAAAACGAAGGAAATCTTAACGAAACAAAAAAATGAGGGTGAAGAATGTCGAGGGAAAGCTAGATGAGCTTTTTCCTCTCGAAAAACGTCTTCAAATGCCATATTTGCATAGCGGCCACCGCCAAGCAAACGATGAGGGAGAAGAAACTAAATGTAGCCATCTTCGAATTGGTTGATCTAATGAGGACTTGCATTGATTCCTCCCTACAAAAGAAAGTCAAAGCTTCATTCGGCCTTCGATTTCAGAAGAATTCACGATCGTATGTGTTGGTAGAGTGGCGTATGCTTACCTCTCGCGAAGATAATACATCTCATCGTGGATGGAGGCGATGGTATCAAACAATTTCTTCAAGTCAATTTCCATCATCTATCAAAAGAAATAGGAACAAGATATGTAGTGCTCAATTCAACCTCTGTGCGAGATATATTGGGTCTGTTTGCTTTGTAAAGAGAAGATGCTTGAAACTATAATTATAATGAAAAAGTTAGCTAAGAGTGTCAGAATCACATATCAGTTATACATGGTCCATCAAACCTTTACACACACACACACACACACATATATATATATATATATGTTTAGATAGATTCAAAGGGGTTCCACATATCATAACATGGTAGCAGAGTTGGCGTCTAGTATCACCTAGAGATTCAACACGCTCTTTTGCCTACATTTGATAGACTCTATATATGTCGCAACCTCCCCTCACTTAGGTTGATAGACTCTTCAATTTAAGAAAACATCTGTGAGTCTAGGGAAAGTTCAAACGAGAACCATAAATATTTTGAATTTTTGAGAATTCCAAACCAACTATTTCAGGTATTATTAATGATAAATAGCCATGAATAATCATGAATATCATGCATTTTCATTATAAATAATTTTCATCATAAGTATTTATAATGACATTCATAATGAATAGCATGAATAGTTGGTTCTCAAGTTCACAAAATATTTAAGGTTCTCATTTGAACCTCGACCTACAAGTCTATAAGCATAAGTAAGGTAACTATTCTGAAATTACCAAGACCCAAATAGCATGAGCTCGATAGTTGGTTCTTGATAAAACATAAATAACGCAAGAACAAATGAACTATGGTTCTATATCGAGATTCAAAGCGGAATAACTAAACCACTAAAAGTACTGTGAACAATAATCAACCCAATAAAGCATAATTAGCAAAGCAAAACTGACCTCAAGTTGTCCTCTTTTAGCTACTTTGGACCAGTCCTTCGCAGCCAGGCCCGATCTCCATTCAAACTCAACGGTCATTGTTGTAGGCGGATTTTGTTTAGCAACCCAGAAACAGGCCATATAATCTCCATCCTCATTTGCGGTAAATGCAAAATTACCAACATCCTTTTGATCTGCATAGTGACAATTGTGCCCGAGTGGTGACGTTATCTGCATTCGACCACATCACAAAAAACCGACTTCGATCTGTCAAACCCGATAACTACATTGAATACAGATGAAAAATAAAATAATACCAGTCTCATGTTTCATTGATCCAATTCAATAGCCACACATAGGTCATAAACAAGTTCTTGAACGGTAGCCGGTGGTGGGTGGTGGTGGGTGGTGGCGACCATTAAAACAAATACCATATTAGGGTTATACTTATATCATATGAAGGTATATTAGTAGTTTTTTAGTTTCTTTCTCATCCTTGTCCCAAATACAAAAAAAAAGCCTTTTTTGTCCCACCCAATCCCAGTCCTTGTCCCTGTCCCATGTCGCGCCAAACGTGGGATGGCGAGTTTTTGTCTTGTCTCATGTCGCTCCAAACGTGGGACAGTGAGTTTTTGTCTTGTCCCATGTCGCATCAACGTGGGATTGTAAGTTGTTTTGTCATGTCCTGTCCTGTCCCATGTACCAAACGTAGCCTAAGTACATATTGCAAGTTTCCAAACTTAAATTTATGCTAATGTGGTGGATAAGATATGTTAAGAGTCCCACATCGGCTAGACTTAAACTTATTCTCCATATATATATATATTCGAACCTCCACTCTGCAAAAGCACTTCTTGAGAGTAATCTAATGGGGTTCCGGATATCCTCACGTGGTATCAAAGCTGATGTTTACCGTTCTAGGGACTTGACACTCTTGGACAATATGTGAAAGGCTACACTCTATTGGATGGTGCATGTTAGAGTTTCACATCGACATGTTGGAACCTCCATTCTTTCATATATTCTCACAAGATTAGCATAGAAGCTAAGATGTAAATAAACAGTCTTTGTCAATATGTCAAAAGGGAAAATGCATTTCTGGTTCAGAGGATCTCCTCTAAATTCAAAAGCAAGTGTAGAACAGACCCTAAAATTTACTAAAACAACATTACAAAGGGGTGTCTGGATGTGCCAAAAACTTTCTAATAATCACTGTATTGCCAGTTTGCAACTAACGATCTTAATTTTGATTTTGATCATAAAATTCAATTCAATAAAACGCACATCCAAACACGCCCTAAATCAATGCGAATTACCTAATCATCTGCGATTGCAATAATCAACATCGGAAATTAGGGAGGTGTTGGGGGCTGACCCTGACGGTGATGCGATGGCTATCAGGCAAAGGATAGTCTTCATTAGGATTGATGATGCTGTACTTTCCAACAGATAGCGAATTCGATTGAATATCTTCCGTTATGCATTTCGTGGCTCCTGTTTTGATATCGAACCGCATTCCCTTCACCATGGGTGTAGGAACGAACCCTAATATCACAACAACGATCGCTAATACGCTTATCGATCTCCACATTTTAGAATTTGGGGAAAGAAGAACCCTAGAAATTGGGAAAATTATGGAGTGACTCTGATCGGGAGCTCTCTGCATACACGGATCAGTTGGTTACTGTTCTCTTGCTCTCTCTTAACGACAAGTAACCGAACTGAGTCCTCAACGGTGTCGTTTAATGCTAAATTAGTACAACCAAAATAGTACAAGTAAACAATAATTTCCTCTTATATGGATTTGCATAAAATAGTACGAGCATGTATGCAATTTCTTTTTATTATTAATCTGGATATCCAATTTAATATATGAGTCGATTAATCTTAGGGCGATCATCTGTTTTGCAGATAGCTCGAAGTCACCGTATTTGAACCTCCCTGACCACAAAAGGATTTTTATTTCTCTTTGGATTTGAACCTAAGAACTCCTGTTACTTTTGATCTTTGGAGTCAAACTTAAACCAATCAGACACCACCTTTGTGGTTGCATGTATGCAATTTTCATTCTGATATGAAGTAGAGATGCATCAAAAAAACACAAAGTCCAACGTTTGCCCGAAAAAGCCCGGGGCTTAGGCCCAAACCCAAAAAATTCCAAGACATGTGGATCTTCAATATGAAGTATGTACCATCCAAATTACACATAAATAACAACCAAAATAACTTATATAAACATCTCATTTTAAATATAAAAAATCTAAAATATAATTAGTATAATCATTGAGTTTTAACAAAATACTTAATTATTATCTTTATAAAATGTTATATTATTAAACCAAAATAAATT